TGATGGCGAGATGCATCGCCACACGTCAATCAAAGCTCTGCTCCCTTGACTTGTGGCTCCTTGTAGTAATTGTTATCCAGCTCCGGTAAAGGAGATTCCAAGCAGGATCAGATGCAGGAACTTCCAGAATTGTCCCACCATGAACACATCCTTGCCAAGATATTCGACACCCAGAACGCCCCAGATGGTGTGCTGCTCTACTGCTTCTGGGGACTGCACTGCTCAACTGGTCCGCAGCGGGCGTTCTGCGTATATCCACCGCAGAAACTGCTCACGACTCCGTGTTTGATCCTTTCGACGGCACGCTACTCGGGTCCATCATACCGCGGGATGACGGCATCCAACCTGAGGAGCCCGCTAAGCTGAATGACATGCACATGAAGAACGAAGAGCTGTGGTCCCACCTGTCCCGCGTCTTGGAACTGCAGAACCGAATCTCCCGCATGCATCTGGAGATGGAGGACATCGGGGCGCATGCCAACGACCCCAAGAGCAAGGGGAAGACGAGGTCGCGGGCGGCTAGTGTCATTCGCGTCGTCGTGGATGAAGGCGAAGGAGACGATGGCATCGGCGGCAGAAGGGATGAGGAAGCTGAAATGAAGAAGGCGCGGGAGGACCAGTTTGCAAAGTTGGCGACTCAGTTCCGAGGCAAGAAACAAGCCATTGAGGACATTATGGACAAGGTCCGTTGTGTATAATCCTGCAGTCACTTGGACGCTGACAAGATGTCTGTTGTAGCTCGACTCACTCTCCCAGTCGGTCACGGAATTCCATGCCCTCCAGGCTCCCAAGATCGAGTTCCCGTCTTCCCGCCAACAGTCGTACCAAACTTATTCGACCGCTGGCCCAGCTTCAGCGGGATTGCGCAGCCCAAACACTGCAGCCCCTTCTGATTTACGTCCGCCAGTATTCCCGAGGCATGCTGATGACCCGCCTCACTATGTTGAAAGTCCTTTATCCGCGACTGCAGCTCTTCCACCTTGAATATGCTGGTCCCCGTAATCATATACTTCTAGCTGTATTCACGTTACGTTGCATAAGTTTACCATCAATCTAAGCTTTGCCCGCGACTGCGATGTCAAGAGACCTTCGAAGGAATCCTAGCAACGCGAGACGCTCTTTAGACACATCCAGTCTCAACAGCGCGTCGACTGCGGCCACCCGCCGGCGTTCTCCAGCTGTCTCAGGCCCGCGGCCCATGTCCACCACCTCCTCTGGGTCCACAGCCGTCAATTCCACGCGTGTCTCATCGCAGGCAAGAGCCCAGCGCCTTGAGCCGCCTCTTCGAAGGCATGGCACGCTTCTCAGCTCAGGTGCCACGCCGACACGGCGGGCGGCTGAGTTGAAGTCTCTGCTAGGAAACGCAAACTGCCGTCTACGGCCGGGCGCGTCTGTCCCTTCGCATCCGCGCGCGTCACAGCAACCGACACTCCTGGAACAAGCCAAAGTTCGAGCGAGAGGTATGATCTTGTGTCCTGCGGCCGCTGTGTCCTCTCACGTCTGAGTAGTGGAAGTCGATCTGCTCTTGAACAGCAGCGTTTTCGTCGAGGGCGGCGATATCACTGGCGTCATCAAGCTCCGGGTCAGACCTCGCCTTTCAAAGGAACCGCTTGTTCTCATCGGGGACGGGAAACTACGGGTGCTCGGGTTCGAGACGGGCGACGGGGACGACCATCATGAGTTTTATCAGCATTCGGTCGCGCTTTGCTCGGCTGCCCCCTCGATGGCCAGGGTCTATACGACACAGGCGGACTCGGAGGGGTTCCGCTCGGCGCAAGAAGGGGTTCATCGGATTGAGTTTACTATGGGTCTCCCGCTAGGTCAGGCAGCGGCATCGAAGGGTCCTTTTCGGGGAAACTCTGGTGCGTCAGTTCGATACATTGTTTTGGTGTAAGTTCCCGCTGCGTGTGCTTCTCGCGTTGACTCTCCCCTGGTCAGATCGCTCAAGGTGAAAGATGAACAAGGACGGAGAAGCATCGCCCATTTCTACCGAGACTGTGAAGTATGGCCTCGGCTCAATCCCTCAGTCGTTCTTGCGCCCAACCAGGAAGCAGTTCAAGATTCTACGTCAAAGAATGTCTTCATGGGCGGAACTGGTGAAGTGCACCTGACAGCAAGTCTCCACCGCTCGACCTTTGTCGCTGGCACTCAAGTTCCCGTCAATATCATGGTTGCGAACCGAACGAAGAAGCTTATCAAGAGTCTGACCCTGACCTTGTACCAAACTACGACCGTCTTCAAGAGTCAGCTTCCCATCAATCAAGGAATCGTCCATCGCAAGCCTATGTCTACATCTACTTTGCAAATGACGCAAGGTTTCCCTCGGGCACACGCAAGTTCTGGTGGCTGGTGGTCTGGAATTCCGTCTGGAGAGCGATCACATCTAAATCACTTTCTCTCTATTCCGGTACGAGTTCGCATCCGTTTCTTGCCGATCGGGTGAAACTAAAGCTCACATAGCCGAATGCTGTTTCGCATACACGGGAGCGACTGGTGCAGGTTAGCCATTCTGTGCGTGTTACACTCAACTGCGGGACATTGGGATCGGATGTGTCTGTGAACATTCCCATTCGCATCATCAACATGATCTCTCTTGATCCCCCACCGTCAAGCTTCGCCAGTCTTCGCTCTACTTCCTCTGTCTCGGATGCTCAAGCCGCGTATGAAGACGACTCGGATGCTGTCATGCACGAGATGACCGGAGATCTGACGATGTGTGATGATGCCGAGGACTTTGTGCACCACGCTATAGTCGCAGCTCAGATGGACACTGTTTATCCGGAATCGAACTGTGACCTCGATTCGCTAGCAGAGAGTTCCATGGAGAACGAATACCCGGAAGAGGCGGAAAATCTGGACCCGAACTATTCTCACTCGCTGCGTCATCGGGGCCCGTCGGCGTTTGCGACCCGCGTTCAAGAGAAGCTGCGAGATCGACAACCTCTGTCTCCGAGAATCTCGTCCACGCGAATTTCTATCGCCGAGGAAGATTTTTCGGCGTCCATTTCCGTCTCCCAGTCGTACTGTTCATCGATTGGTGTCGAAGACTCGGTCGTCCCTGGATACCAGGTCGCTACGTCTAGTTTTCTGGACCACCGGTACTATCCGACTGTTGCTGCTGCTTCGACGGCTGTTGTCGGACTTCCGTACACGAAAGAAGAGGATGAAACTCCCAGTGGGCTGGGCATCGCTACTTTCAGGACAACACTCGCTGCACCGCCGACGGCCGTCACGGTTTCGCCTTCCGTCGCATCCCCACAACGGCCGCCAATCGTCGTGGGATTGTCGTCCGGGTCGGTCAAGGACAGAATCCGAGAGCTGGAAGCACGAGTCCGTCAGGCAGAAGCGGAATAGCATGTACATGATGAGTATTATTGGAGTACCGGATATCAGTAATGTATCGTAAAAATGTGGCCAACAGCATGTGTCTATCCGCCCAGAAGCGCAAGTGCTGCACGAAGCTCCCGTCGAGCCTGCTCCGCGTCTTCGTAGTCGAGAGAACTGATGGCAAATCGACAATGTTTCTGTGCCTTGGCTACCAACGTCGGCGTCAGCTCCAGTTGTAGTGGAGGAGGAGAGACGATCGTGGGAGGAAGCACGAAAGACGGTGGCGGAGGGATCACAGGGGCGGGCACGTGCGGCAGCGGCAGCGGTGGCGCTGAGGGACGTGGGTACTCCACTGGTGGGATCGGAGGTTGGTAGAGCGACGACGCGCCACCGAACGAAGCCGCGTCGTCGTATGGCGAATATGTGGCATCTTCCGAAGGGGAGGATAGTCCGTCAATGGAGGGCGTAAAGTGGACAGTCTTCTTGTTCCCAGGCGGAGGATCGAGCAGGTCGCCCGAGTACTCGCTCTCCGTCCTTGCGAAGACTTCTGGTGTCGCAACATTCGTGCCGGGGTGGCGACGGTGCTCCACTGACCGGGCGACACGGCTCCCCCGCGATCGGGGCTGGGATGGAGTCCGGTAGGGTCCACAAACGCGGGATGCGCGTTCTGGGACGAGAAACGGCGGTTCGCGTTGGTGATATCGGCCGATTCGAGTTTGGGTGAAGTGCGTTTGATGGGGGGCGGCTCACTTATTTGTGGCAGGGACGTCTCCTTCAGAGTGTCGATGCTGTCTGGGCTGGATCTACCTGCCGCAGCAGCGCTCGCTTGGAGCTCAGCCAGTTCCGCTTCGATGCCCGAGTCTGCGGGACCGGGCGTGGGCTTGCGACCTTCCCGAAAGGCTTTTGCGATATCGGCAGCCTTCCATTTCGCATATCGGATTTTTTCTTGGCTCTGTCCTGCCACGTAAGCGATGCAGAAGAGAAGGAGAACACAAGACTTGCAGATTCGGACACTTCGGACTTGGGGAATGTTTTGAGCACTTCCAGGAAGTGGGCCGCGGCCAGAAACTTCTTTGCGGTGGACCTAGAAGGTTATCATCGCATCAGAAAGACAAAAAATATATCGGAGAACGAACCTTGTGACAGCGCCCGACCGATCCTCGTTATCCGCAGCCGCGAACACTCGCAGCGCAAAGTTTTCCACGTATGCCGAGCTGGCGGCTTCAACATCGATAGCGTCGGTCGGCCCAATCTCCTGTTTCATTCTCTCGAGCTCTCCCAGGAGGTGGAGCAGAAAGTCGCGCGAAGCGGTATCCTTCGCCTTGAGCGATATGCCAATCTGAGCTGCATAATAGGTGCCTGGAGCCGTGAGTCAGGAATCTGACCAGACCGGTGGAGACATGTAGCATACACCAATACGCGACGATGGGCTCCTTGGTTCGAAGTTCTTCCGCGCGTTGCAGGTATGGGGAGATGGATTTGAGGGCCGGGGGTGCCATGAATGATGTTTTGAGTCAGAGTTGACAATCTTGGCAGTGCACAGCGCAGCGGATTATAAAGGCTGTGGGATTTGCCTCGCGGAACGCGTGCTGCAATCTTTTTGTGGTCCGAACGCGTTCAGTGGTCGTGTGAATGAAGCAGAGGCTGCAGAGCGCGGTTGACAGTAACCGATCGCCGCTCAGTGATCGCAAGTTCGAAGCACCCGTGCTGCACTGATGTCATAGCGAAAGTTTCTTGTATTGTTTACACGCGTAGATCTACACATAACGAGGCTTAGAGGGCAGCGTACACTACGGTGAAGGGCTATTTTGTCTTTCCGAAGACGAGTCCGTGATCGCAGCAAGCTCCACAGATAACCATGTGAGATGTCCAACAGCAACGAGGACTGTGGTGCCAGTAGATAATAATGCGGGCTATTCCGGACTAGGCCACAGCAATAGGTTCCGACTGGCCACCCAGCTAGGCGTAGGGCCGCCCAGGCTGAAAGCGGCGCAGTTCCACTCCGGCTTCTGCCAGAAGTCTGGCTGACGCATCGTCTCTGCACATTTAAAATGAGTAGGCTTGAGCGTGGACACCGAAGGAACCGTACACTTTGTAGCTCAGATTGTAGACGACGGTCCTCACCCCGGTCTGGATAATCTTGATCGTGCATTTTAGACAAGGGCATCTGGATAAACGGATCTGCCAGCCGCCAATAGGCTTTTTCAGAAAGCATCGTACGTGTTGCAGTACAGCACGGATCCATGTCCGACTCTTTCTCTTCCTGCTTCTAGCTGTGCACTGATCAGATGATAATCTCATCTAAGGCGCTAAGTCGAAACACGAACCAGCGCATTTTCCTCGGCGTGCAGACAAACGCATTCGTTATCTGCATATTCCAGGCCGTTGCATCGGATGCAGCCGCCTTCGTTGCAATTTCTGACTCCTCGGGGTGTGCCATTATACCTGTCCCAATGTCACCCCACACTTGGCATCGAGACACGAGACGGAGACTGACCCCGTGGCGAGGATACGGTTCTCACGAACAAGCACAGCTCCGACCCGTCGTTTCATGCAGTTCGATCGCTGGGACGCCAAGGATGCCAGCGTCTATGCATGTCGTCGGCAACGGTGTTCCATAGAGACAGTAGTCGCACCATGAAATATTGATCCCATTGTGGTCGAAGATGGCTCGGATCGAGGATATTCAGATCTTCCAGATAGGATTCCAGAGTTTGAACGCTCGGAAAGGTATTTGACACGTGCTTGGTGATCAAGTCCCTCAAACCATGGACGGACGACTCGGACGTGGAGTCCGAGTCCACGCATGTGCCAAAGACAATATTATCGTCATCCCGCACAAAATCCTCCAGAGTCACAGGATGGGAGCTGCAAGGGAACGGCTGTGTATCTGTGTGCAGCTCACTGAAACATCGGCGTAAAGAACTCACTTGGCGCTGTTGAACCGCTGAAATCGATCGAAGAGTGGAGCGTCGACGCAGAGCAGGAAGAAGAACGGCCTCAAGGCAAAAGACTCCAGAATCTCCCTTGTCCGGACATCTGCGATTACGAAATCTGTCCTCCAGTTGCGTGTCACGTAATCGAGTAAAGTTGTCGGCGAGGAAAAACAACGTGGACTCGCGTTGTCTTGGACATCTTGTGACACAGGTCCGAGAGACAGAAAAGACAGATGTTTCGAGGTGAATTGATCGTTATACGTCTCGCTAGTGGTTATCGAAGCCGTGTCCGAGTTCAAATCCTGCTCTTGACGTCAGGGCATCAAGGCTGCACACAGAGTCTTACAAACTTCGGAGTCGTCAAGAATCCGTACACGCTGGAAGCCTCTCATGACCAAATAGTTCTCGATCGTGCTTTTTCCAGATGAGCGTGTGCCAACAATGGCGACGAACATGATCGATTGAGTGAAGACGCGTGGCGTCACTATGTCACATTATCACGTTACGTATGTGACTTTTCGCGCCATGTACATACATGTCGGACATCCGGTAGCCTACAGTTATAACACTTCTTTCTTTTTCTTGTTCAATTTGGCTTCCTTTGCCTTAGCCTTGGCAGCAGCTCTTCCCTCCGATCTGACAAGCTTTGCCATTTTCATGTCCTTGGGAGTAGTTGTTCGAAGCTGCTTGACATGAGTAGGAATGAGCTGTTTGGCTGGTCTTGCAGGAGCAGCTGAGGCAGTCGATGTCAGCCAAGGTGCGGTGATTATCGGCAGAGACTCTAATATCGATGCGAATTCAGCTAAACGAGGTGCATCACACTACGAAATCATGAACGAGCGTCCAGGAAAGATAGAATGTGCCTACATCCAAAGCCACAATGGCAGCTCGTCGCACGTGCAGCGCTTTCGCCAACTCGAGCTCTGTTCCCGCTGGAAGTGGAACGACTTTGATGGGCTGCGCAGGGCATGCAGAATTGAATGCCGCCACTTCGTGTGGGATGTGGTCGATCAGAATGGGGGGATCTACGTCCGCCCGGCAGACTAGAATCAATCGTATGGGTTTTGGAACCTCAGAGGATGGTTCATTGGAGGGTTCAGCCTGGATTACAGTCGTCTGACGGAGGGATCGAATTTGCTCATCCAAACGGCGGGTTACTTCGTTGATGCCGACAACCAAGTGCGATAGGATGAGAGGTTCTGGAGGGAGCACGCTATCTTCTGGAAGGACCACCAGATCGTCGTTCATGGGAATGTCAGAGCGTTCATCAGAGGCAGGTTTCGTAGTCGAGGAATTCTGCTTTTCTGCCCGTTTACGTTTTCTGTTCTGTTTCATCCGTGAAGCCTGATAGTCCGCCACACCATCCAACAAAGACATGATGCAGGCTAGAGCCCTGTTCTGCACATTCATAGGAACTGAGGGCCTAAATGGAAGGTTGGAAGTGCGCGGCGGATGACCTTGAGAGGTGTTGATACCATGGTATGCGAAAGGGGCTGTCTAAAACGCTCTTGAAGACTACTTTCTTTTCCAGCGTCGCTCGGGTTTTGGCGCGATTTGAGCCGTGATGAACTTGAGCAGCCATGTCGTGGTTGAAACTCTAATGCGATCACTGTGACATCGGCGATCGGAGTGCGTCACACTCAAGCTCCGTAAAATTTCAATCCCGAGCCTGCACATCGGTAGATCGGTCATCTCTCCCTTGACCATGCCCCAGCTCGACACATAGTCCGGGCCGAATGAGAATCTATCTATTCACTTATAATCTACCAAGGATTGCTTCTAGAAATGACTTTCGAGACAACTGTTCCGCGAATCTTATTCATAGACTCGTATGATTCATTCACATTCAAGTGCGTCTCGACTCTGCAGCAGCAGACATTATGCTCATGTTTCGCGCGAAGTTTGGTCTCACTGTGCAGAGAGGCTATCCCCGACTGTGCTGTGCATATCATCAAGAACGATGCGTTCACCATAGAACAACTACTGCCCTTTCTCCCGCTATTCTCTGCCGTGGTGGTTGGTCCAGGGCCCGGATCTCCGCAAAACGACCAGGACATTGGTGTTATCAAGGATCTTTGGGGACTTGCCGCCAATGTACTGCTCCCGATCTTCGGTGTGTGCCTCGGGCTGCAGAGCCTCGGTGTTGCGTACGGAGCGAGGCTGGAGCGATTGAACGTCGTGAAACACGGGCAGGCTTCCCTTATCCACCATACCGGCCGTGAACTTTTCGAAGGCGTTGGGCTCGTGGAAGCTGTGCGATATCATTCGTTGCATGTTACATTGCTGGATGCTGGCGAGGTCGAGCAGCTTGCATGGGCAGATGATGGCAGCGAGAACGGGCTCGTCGTCATGGCGATGCGCCACACTTCCAAACCATTCTGGGCTGTGCAGTATCACCCGGAGTCAGTCTGCACTCAAGGAGGAGGGAGGGATGTTGTGTCGAATTTCTGGAGCTTGGCACAAACTTGGTCGAACAAACATGGGCGTCGCACTCTTCCATGGAACTCCTCAGCTTCCTCTACTTTTGGAAATCCGTGGCCTGTTTTCTCTCCCACAGATGTGATCGTGTCACCCTCGGCTCAGTCTCAGATTGTTTCGACTCGTATCCTCGACCTTCCCAATCTCACTGCTCGCCAAGTCTGTGAACTTTTCGGTGTAGCAAACGACGAATCTCCGTTCGTCTTGCTCGATTCGGCAGCTCAACCTGGCCGACATTCCATCATTGGCTCGCTTCTTCCGTCTTCGCCTCAATTGAGCTACTTTGTTGGGGACGCCTATGTAACACTCACACAACACGGCCATTGTTCGGAGCAGCCTTTAGAAGATCGGGATATCTGGAGCTGGGTTTCACACTTCGTGATGTCCAAGGGAGACTACCGTGGCCACCCCGAGATCCCTTTCTGGGGAGGGCTCGTTGGCCTTCTCAGCTATGAGATCGGGGTCGACACACTGACAGTCCCCCTTCGCCAAAATAGAACAAGGCGACATCCTGATCTGAACCTCGTTTTTGTGGAGCGTTCAGTAGTCTTGGGTGCTGGTACCGGACAGGTTTTTGTGCAATCGCTTCTTGCTAATGACGAAGATTGGGTCGCGAACACTGCTGCCGCTTTACTCAAGGCCGATTCAGCAAACTTTGTTCCTCGATCAAAGCTTCCCGAAATACAGCCTACTCTTTCGATTCCAAACAAAGCCCAGTACATATCTCGAATCCTCGAGGCACAGGAGAGCATTTCATCCGGAGACTCGTACGAACTTTGTTTGACTGCAAGAACGACCGCCAATTTCCAGAGTGCTGGCCGACCTCCTGGTTCTCGCTCATGGAACCGATATCAAGCCTTGCGCTCCAAGAATCCTGCTCCTTATTCAGCCTACATCCGACTCCATCCTACTACGTTTCTGTCTTCCTCCCCGGAGCGCTTCATCTCAACGTCTCGACCCCCGAGGTCCGTTTTCCAAATGCGACCCATCAAGGGTACCGTCAGGAAAGCGCCTGGTATCACGCGCGCCGTCGCCGAAGCGGCCCTCGCGGGGAGCGTCAAGGAAGTGGCGGAGAATCTTATGATCGTAGATTTGATCCGGCATGATCTGCACTCTGTGCTCGGCGAGGACGTGCAGGTGAAACAGTTCTGCAAGGTGGAGGAGTACGAAACTGTGTGGCAGCTCGTCAGTGTGATCGAGGGCAAGCTGGATCCACGGCAATGCGGTCGAAGGCTGGAGCAGACATTGGGGTGGGACACGTTGAAGCGCAGTCTGCCTCCCGGTGTGTGGAATCTCTGAGCGTCTTCGAATCACTTTACTCACCGCACACAGGGAGCATGACCGGTGCACCCAAAAAGCGAAGTGTGGAGATCTTGCGTGGACTCGAAGACACCGAACGCAACATCTACTCCGGAGTGTTCGGGTATTGGTGTGTTGGTGGAGGATCAGATTGGTCCGTCACTATCCGAAGCTGTTTCCACTTCGACGATCCAAGCTGTCCGGACGAGATATGGGAGATGGGTGCAGGAGGTGCGATTACTGCGTTGTCTGACGCAGACGACGAGTGGGATGAAATGTTAGTCAAGTTGACCAGCGTTGCCCGCTCGTTCACAACTCTCTGATCCGGGATGGAGTGCTCTGAGACTGTATAATAGTATTATTTGTAGCATTACTAGCCGCCTTCAACAGGGCACCTAGCCACCTTCAACGGGGCACAGCGTTTCCGATACATGACGAGTGAACTGATTACGTAAGTCAAGTCCGGACAGCGCGCCGACGTCCATGTTCTCCAGACGGCCTTCCACCCTCTCCGTATATACACCTCCCCCGTCATCCCAGGGAACAGTCAAAATCGTCCAGACAGATGATCTTCCAGAGGCTCCCGCGCTCTCGAGACAAGTATCGGCGTCCACGTCTAAAATACCCTATGTCTCTGAACTGGACCCGGACGAGTTGTTCACCAAGCGCACGATTGCCGAAGTGAAGGTCGCACAAAATAAACTGAGGTTAACTCCTTCTCGCAGTCTAATGTCGTGTCTAGACCGGTTCACAGAGCCGATGCCGACGCGAAGCAAGAGGAATTGAGGTTGATGGTGGGGTACGTGCTTCGTGTCTGTCACGTCTTTCACAATCTTATTCAACATGGACGCACCAGGGAGCGATACCGAGACCTTTTACACGCCTCCACATCCATCATCGCCATTGCGAGCTCTTCGCACCGGGTCATCGAGGCTTTGAATGAGGCCAAAGATGTTATTATGTCTCAAGCCGAGCCTCCAGTCCCTCAACGAATGTCCTCCTATAGAGGTGGTGGTGCGTCATCTCTCGTGGCTTCGTTATGCCGATGTGAATGAGAACAGATGGGCATCTGCACACCCTTCAATTGCTTGCTGCGCATATGAAACTACTTTTGGACGCGCCCGAATATCTATGGAGGCTTATGGAGCGCAAAAGATACTTCACAGCTGCATGGCTCTTTCTTCTAGCGCTTGTGGTGCACCATGCTTTGGTACGGAGTGACGATCAGGATGAAGATTCATGGCAATCGCAGGGTATTGATGTGCTGGTCAGTGAATACACCACGTTGCATGCATTTGAATGACCGTTATGCAGGAGCAATTCCCACTTGTTCAACGTCAATGGGAAGCTATCCTCCCATTCCGTTCTCAAATTATACATCGAGCAACGTTGTCATTGCGAGAGGCCAGTGGATCTGCGGAGGCAAGCTTGTCCTTCTCAACAGCATATCTTCTCTAATTTAGCGCAGGATATTTGTGCCGCGGTTCTATCTTTGCATTTGTTGGACTCCCGACCACTGTCGGAAGCGCTGTCCCTCTTCCTCAGCCAACGTTCCAAAACACTGCAAGGATTCTTGTCGCGTAAGGCAGAGGGCACAGCCACATCTCCATCCGTAGGAAAATCCAACGGACATGTGCCAGAAAAGGTTGCATCGAAGAGTTCGCTCAAAGAGGTCAAGGAGATCACGCAAGCTGCCGTGGTCGCTGTTGTGGACACTATCCGAATATGCAGGGCTGTCTTCCAAGACTCTGCGTCCAAGTCCATGGTTGCTGCCGTGCTCGAGTACATCCATTCAGACTCCACGCAACCCGATAACAAGGCACTCTCATCAGAACTCATGCTGACAACAGAATCATTGTTGGTGGCGCTGCCCTCCTCTACCCAGTTCTTACTCCTCCCCCCTGCTTTACGCTCGTACAAGCCGCACGTAAATCTCTCGTCATCCTCGTCCATGATTGATCCTGTGTACTTCACCCAAACCCTCGATTCGTGGTTTCAATCATCGAATGGGAGCCTCGAGGTCGCGGTCTCAAAATGGTTTTCGGAACTGCATCTCGCATCCGACGTTTGGTCCTTGCGACTTTCCATATGGCGGTGGATCACAATTGCTGGTCTCGCCGATACGGAATCAGAGGCTTTGAAGTCCATGTTCGATCGCACGGCTCGACAGCGGGTTCTCGACATCTGGGCCAAGGCACTTGGGGATGCTCAGACCGCATTCAAAACCCAGCTTGAAGCAGCGACCGCTTCAATCCGAACTACGCAATCAGTCACCTCTTCTGCGCAATTCCTATTCAATGCTCCGGCGCTCCCTGTTATGGGCGCAGGTCACGCGGACGTATCATTCGAGAAGTATCAGCAGTCTTTGCGGCAGCAATTGCTTGGACGAACGGCTCTCCTGGACGGTGTTTTATTAACCCTGGAAAATTGTGCTAGATCGCTCCAACGAGATTTTGCTATCGTGCACGGCGGCGACACTGACGATCGGGCTACCCTTTCGAAGCTGACAGAAGAGTATCAACCTCACGCAGATGAGCTGTGTGCGGGGATTTTAGACACTCTTTCCTCGGCCGAAAACTCTGAGGATGACAATGGTAACAGACTGCCTTCCGCCATCGAGTCACGACTAATGACCGCACTCAGATACTTCAGTCAACACTCTTGTCTTCCTGAGTCATATTGCGGACGAACTTGTCTCTTCCATCTTCATTTCAGGAATTCGAGCAGGGGAGCAGACTGTACAAGGTGAAGAATATACCTTCTGGCCTTTGCTAAGCTCTGAAGGTTTACTAGATTTCCAACGGCGCGCAGAAGCTCTTCGTGATCGAATCATCGATCGCTGGAGAAGTCGCATCGTGGCGCAAATCATCTCACAGCAAACCGATAGGCCTACTCTCATGGTGGTGTCACCTGCACCATCGCCGGCGTTGATTGAAGCTCTTCTCAAATTATCCACCTCCATCCAGGAGCTCACCCGGTCCCGGAACGTCAGCCCAGAGCCTGAGAAGACTCTCCGGCATTTTATAACAGAATGGGTCGCAGGCAGCTCGAAACGTGAACCTCAATCACATTCAGATATCGTTTTCCTCCGCTACCTCGCCAGTCTCTACCGCACAGAGTGGGACGACTTGTGCTCTCTGCTCGATGCCAAAGCCCAGGAATGCCAGGAACATGTACGTGTTCAATCCCAATGTCTCTCATAATGTCTCAAGATCTTTCAGTCCGAACTCGAGATGCCAATGGTCGAGAGCGGAGCATCGGAATACTTGACACGAACACAGACTCTGTTCGCGCCATTGCTTCCAGTGCGATCCCGCATGCTATCACTGGACTTGACGACAGACAAAATGGCACCGCTGTTACCGTTTGGTTCGCCACCGACCGGAATGCCGTTCCAGTCTGCCGTAGAAGTCGCAAAAACGTCTGCGCGATTCGGACTACTGCTTGTAGGCACGGTATGAATTATCAAATCTCGCGGACGGTGAATCAAACTGGTCGTCTGGCCGCGGCAGGGATATAGAATTCCTCGAGGTTTTGAAATACAAGCGAAAGAACAAGTGGAAAATCGACCTATGCGCCTCCACTAGTCGGCAAGGTAAGATTGGTGTGGACCAGACACAGGCGGATGAAAGCAAACGTACACAAGGATGTTGTTGCTGTGAAATGTGAGTAAGGTAGCATAGGCCACACTAACGATAGGGACGCACATGGGGATGTGAATAAGCTTCACGAAGTAACCAATGAATCCCATGACAGCAAAACCGACACCGACAGCCCAGCAGATTTGAGTGTACTCTAGAGTCCAGTGAGTGAGGAAGAATGGATACGGAGGGGGGACGTGCACGCACCCTTCTCGGAGGGTTTTGTGCAACGTGTCATAAACTGAATCAATCGTCATCTTGGCTGTAGACGTGCAGCCGTCAAGTGCAAACCTGGGAGCCCTCGCGCACAAACTGCTGAGGGATTTCGACGAATTCGCGGACCTTGTCGGACATTGTAGAGTAGAAAGAACGGATGGGTGTGGTGGAGGAGAGAAGAAGTAACGCGTGCACGTGATGCCGGGATAGCTCTCCGAAAACTGCTCGGCGACCGTTCTCGTCACGGTACAGTCTCTTCTCAGCAGCCCAGACTGGCGCTTGACGCCTGAAACACGGAGGTTTGTCTATGCAACTTGAATTCCTGACTGGGACTTAGATGTTCACAGTCCGACTTACGCATGAATGTCCCTTCGTACTGGACTTGTTCGAGCAACACGTCTCCCAGCATTTCCGCGCCCTCGACTTCCCCCGGCTCTTTTGGCGCGGGTAATTCACGATGAACGCACGAGTTCTAAAATAGACCACCTCGCCCAACCACTCAGGTTTCCCGATGAACCCAACCTTGTCCGCAAACATTATCTGCCCCTGGTCGAAGAGCTGGAACGAATCAAAGCAGACCCGACTGCGCCTCCTCCGCCCTCTCCGCTGACACGACATCAGATCATCACTCTGCTCGACATGCTAGCCACCTCTGGCCGTCCAGCCGATATCGGCACCCTGAAAGCCATGTTCGCGCACCTCCCGCTCTATTTCGGCATCCCTATTACCCCCGACCTACACACAGCCGTCATTTCTGCCTTTCTCAAGCAGGGATACGTCCGAATCGCTGTTTCGTGGATTGCGAGCATGCCAGACCTCCCGCCACACGTCCACCCAGGCCTGGAACACTTCCACACACTCTTGAAGGGCTGCCCGATCCATGTCCAGATTGCGTACCTCCGCGACATCGTCATGCATAAGATGCCCGCTGCGGGTGTTCAGCCAGAAGAAGAGACGTTCGCCATCTTGACGCGTCGCATGATCCAGAACGCAAGAGAGAACAAAAAGAACGTGCCTGTGGCCCACTGCACGGGCTTGTTCAGCGACATGCAAGCCATGAAACTGGCGTGTCCCTCCTCCATCTTGGACCTTATGACCGATTTCTACATGAGTCAAGGTCTGACGCAGTTTGCCGAAGCCGTGCGGGCTGACTACGTTGCGCGATTTCCTCAAGAGCCCTCGGCGGATGAAAAGCAGTTGCGGGAGTGGCAGACGACTTTGTTTTCAGTTGCCCAGTCTTCCGGTATCGAGGTGGCGGCCAACCTCATCGACATTCTATGCAAGCAAGGGCTCCCGCGATCTGGCCTTGCCTTGCTGGCTATCCTGGGACCCTCGTCTACCAGCGTGGAAGATCTACGCACCGCAGAGAAGGCGTCTGGAATCAGTGCGAGTGCGTCGGAGTACGCCTTTCTGATCAACAACTGCTTGCGAACGAAACGATTGGGTGATGCCCAGGCCATCTACGAGCAAGCGAGAGCAGCAGGAATCGCGCCGGCGGCTTCCATGGTCGGGCCTATCATCCGGGCTCTCACTTCCGGTGGCCGGAATTCCGCACATGATACGAATGTCGATGCAGCCTTGACTCTGTACACTGAACTGGATGAAGCTTTCTCTTCCGACTCGGCCGGCCCGGAGAACTCCCCCGGCCCCACCCTGGATATCTACACCTGTCTAATGCACGGACTGGCCAACTGTTCGAACGTGAAGACGGCCTATCCGATTGCGCAGGCGCTCCTATCCGACATGGAAAGCCGAAAGATGACGAGCAACCAGTCCATCATGACCTCTCGAGTGATTCTTGAGATGTGCTCTGCAGACAGTCTCGAATTAGCGCTCAAGGCGTATCGCAAGCACTACACGGAGCTCACTGACATGGGCTACTGGGCCGTGCTCACCGCATTCGTCCGCTTCTCCTTCACGCTGGGATACCAGAACGCCATGGAATACTTCTACATCATCATCTCGGACATGGAAAAGGCGGGCTTCCGGATGAACGACCGGCTATACACCAATGTTCTCCGCCAGCTCTCCGAGGTTGCCTCCGCCCGCAGAAAAGAGTGGCGACAGAAAAATATCGGGAAGGAGGTCCCGCCCAAGCTCTATGCCGACATCCTCGATGCGACACGGCAGCTGCACAATTCGGTCGTGCTAGACTCGATGATCCGGCCTGGGATGCCTGTCTGGAACGAGATCATGGGCACCTATCAGCGATTGGGTGCATTCGCGGACGCGTACCGGATGTGGCAGCATATGTTCCTCACCCGGAGCTTTGGCTCCATCACTGTCAGCACCATCCTCGAAAGCTGCGACTCGGCGGAACGGGCGCAATCCATCGTGGCGGATCTGTTGCAGAGCCGGTACGAGTTGACGCTGCATAACTGGAACGCCTACGTCGAATGTCTGGCCAAGAACCAGAACATATCGGAGGCACTCTATGTGATTTGCGAGATGATGGGGTCTGGTCATCAGCCGGTCAAAGCGGACGCGTCGACAGTGTCAGTCGTGCTCAAGTCCGCTACGACTGAGCAGCAGCGCCAGTCGGTATTACAAACGATCGAGCGTCAGCGACAGCCGCTGTACGCGTCGTTGCCGGAGTCGATGACGCGACCCCCATAATAAATCTCAAATATTGTATGTTCTAATGTAACTTATCATTCTTATCCTCTTGCGAGCCCCGATGGAAAACCCTGCTATGCTATTGGATACAGTTACAATTGCGGTTGAGCGCAAATCTAGGGTATATACGCTATTCATGACGAGGCCAGCTCCTCGACAGACGGGCAGTCGCACTGGGACAAACGATCAGCTCTCTGAGACAAATAAACGCACAAGACAACGACGTACGATGAGGTTCAGATCGCCGTATGCATCATCGATGCGAGACACGGTCGGCCATGCCTTCTTTTCGCGCAGCCAGTGCAGCGGATACGCCGCAGCTTCACGTGTATAGGGCCGCTTCCATTCTTCCTCAGAAAGCGCGATGATGGACATCGGATGCGGTGCGTTCTTCAACAGGTTGTTGTCTTTGGGTTGTTTGCCAGTGATGATGTCTTCGGCTTCCTGGCGGATTTGGATCATGGCGTCGCAGAACCTGGAACAGATCAGCGATGCGGGCAGGCCATTGAGAAAGGCATTATTGACCTGTCGACCTCTTCCAACGTCTCGGACTCTGTCGGCTCAATGAGCATGCATGTGGAGATCGGCCAAGAGCAAGTGGGGGGTGGAAGCCATAGTCCTAGGGATAGTGTTAACGACTGCGTCTCCAAGAGCGAGTCTCGACTCCCACCTGCAAACGCTTGGCAAAGTCAGGAACCCTCAAACCCTGCTTCTCAAACTCGGCAAGATCAATCAACAACTCATGGGCAACTTTCCCATTCTCGTTCTTGTACCGCAGGGTGTAGTGACCAGTAAGTCGCTTAGCCATGTAATTGGCGTTGAGCAGAGCGAGTTTGGACGAGTCGGTCAAGCCTTGCCCGCCGAGCATCTTGATGTAAGCCCAGGAGATGAGCAGGATCGATGCGCTGCCGAACGGCGCAGCGGAGACCGCGTCGATTGCTTGGGCGTTGAACTCAGGCATGGCCGGGTGAGATGGGAGGAAAGGTGCCAGATGCTCAGCAACGCAGATGGGCCCAACACCGGGACCTCCTCCACCGTGGGGAATGGCAAAGGTCTGTTCCACTGTGAGCATACAGGATCGGGCGCCAAAACGAACAAACCGACCTTGTGCAGATTCATGTGGCACACATCGCCGCCGCAGGTCGCCGGGTTGGTCAAACCGACTTGAGCGTTCAGGTTAGCACCATCAAGGTAGACTTGTCCGCCATTGTCGTGGATGATCTGGCACGCATCCTGCACACCGGTCTCAAAGACACCAAAAGTAGACGGGTAGGTGATCTGGTAGAAAGCTTCAGTTAGTCTTCGTTATCATCCACGAATGTGTCACTCACCATGAAAGCTGCCAGATTGTCCTTGTGCTTCTCCGCTTTACTCTTGAGGTCCACCAAATCCAGGTTTCCGTCCGGAAGTACCTTCACTGGCACGACCTTCAGCCCAGCCATCACCGCCGACTACACCGAATGAGCGCTTGTGCATCGTTCAGATCAACAGCAAAACTGACCGCAGGATTGGTTCCATGAGCACTCAACGGGATGAGACAGATATCACGCTGAGCCTCTCCTCGCGACTCGTGGTAGGCGCGAATCACACACAGCCCAGCATACTCTCCAGCGGCACCAGAATTGGGCTGCAGAGACGTTGCATGGAAGCCAGTGATCTTGCAGAGATCGTCTTCGAGTTCCTGGGACGAAGTGATCAATGAACGGTCCGTGAACGAAGCAAGAAGGCTAACCCTGATGATGGTGTGGTATCCCTTGACTTGGTCATACGGCGCAAAAGGGTGCACCTGACTGAACTCGGGCCAAGTCAGCGGAATCATGCTGGACGTGCTGTTGAGCTTCATCGTGCAACTTCCGAGAGGGATCATCGAGTGAACGAGTCCGACGTCTTTGGAGGCAAGATGGAAGATGTAGCGCAGCATCTCCGTCTCGGAGTGGTGCTTGTTGAACACGGGATTCGTCAAGAAAGTCGACGTCCGGACAAAGGGCTGCGGGATCGAGGGGCCGTCGGGTGCAACGAGGCTCGAGCGCGCGACAGAGGCTTTGCTGGCAGCAGATGCGAAGACATTGATCAGTGCAATCAGGTCTTCGGGAGTCACGCTTTCATCCAATGTGACACCAACGCTCTCGCTTGAGACATTGCGCAAATTGATGGCGGCAGCAACGGAAGCAGCGTGCAAGGCCTCGGCTTCGCCGGCAACAGATGAGACATCGATGGTTAGAGTGTCAAAGAAGGTGTCGTTTACGATCTTATAGCCGAAGCCCTGGACAGCCGATGCGAGAACCTGAGTGAACGCGTGGACCTTGTCCGCAATGGCCTTCAATCCGGCAGGCCCGTGGTACACAGCATACATGGCCGCCATGTTCGCCAGCAGCGCCTGACTGGTGCAAATGTTGCTAGTGGCCTTCTCCCGGCGGATGTGCTGTTCGCGAGCTAATCACATGTGAGCACCGCGGTGGGCAAAAGTCAATCACGGAACGCGCACTCTGAAGCGCCAAACGGTAGGCCGGCTGGCCCGTCGTGTCTCGACTCCGCCCGATCAGCCGTCCAGGCATCTTGCGCTTGAGCTTGTCGGTGACGGCGAAGAAGGCGGCATGAGGACCTCCGTAGCCAGCAGGCACACCAAACCGCGCCGAGTTGCCCAGAACGATGTCCGCGCCCCATTCACCGGGAGGTTTCAGCGACGTCAGAGCCAAGAGGTCGGTAGCGCACACAACAATGGCGCCCAGAGCGTGCACACTGTCTGACAGACCGCTGAAGTCCCTGATCTGACCGTTGACGTCTGGGTACTGGACGAGAACACCGCAGATATCAGTGTTTGCAGACGAGTCTGCGACAGCACCGGTGACATCACCAACGACGACATTGATTCCAAAACCCTTGGCACGAGTTCGCAGGACGGCGATGGTCTGAGGAGAGACCCCTCTATCAACGACGAAAGTTTTCTTCTTCTGCGAAGCCGAGACGAATGCCATCACCATGCCCTCTGCTGCGGCCGTAGCCTCGTCTAGAAGAGAAGCATTGGCGATGTCCATGGCCGTCAGAGACATGATCATTGTCTGGTAGTTCACCAGGCTCTCGAGACGTCCTGAATAGGATATGAATGGCTGGAATGACAGGGCACCCGATGCGCCACACACCTTGAGCGATTTCGGGCTGATACGGCGTGTAGGGTGTGTACCATTGCGGGTTCTCCATCACCTAGCCTCGTGGTGAGCCAGGATGCAGGGAGGGCAGGAACGAAAAGACCCACATTGCGCAAAATAACCGGGGGGACCACTGCACAGTGGTATCCCATTCCAATGTAGCTCTTGAAAGACTTGTTCTGGCCTGCGAGCTCCTTGGCACGCGCATGGAGCTCAGACTCGCTGAGAGCGGGGATCGTGTCGACGGCGGCGGTCGAGATCCGAATTTTGGGCGGCACGGTCTCGCCGACGAACGCCTCCATCGACTCGTACCCCAGAGCACTCAGCATTTTGTCCGCCTCGTGCGCATCGGGACCAATGTGGCGGGCAGAAAAAGTGTCGAGCGGTGAAAAAATCGACGGGGGGCTGGTGGACGTTGCGAAGAGTCGGCAGGAGCGCGTACGCCCTGCGACAAGGGACGAGAGGCGCCACAGGCCTGAGCGTACACCCGGCATGTGGATGGTGGACCGTAGAGGTTGGGGAAGGAACCGCGGAGCTACCGCTAACGGGTCCCCGTTCCGTACATATACACGATTCACCGAGCCATTCACCGAGTAGATAAGTTATCCGCCGTCAGGGACGAATGTTCGCGAACAAAAACGAGGCGCCTTCAACCAGCAATGGGGCAGAACAAGGAAAAACGCGTAAATACACGTCTTCGCGCGCGCAAACGGTCTGAATTGGGCACGGCGGTATGAGGGAATCTCCCAACTGAATTAGTAGGAACAAAAACTTTTTATGATGGACCCGAGTTAGATCTTTGATCGATTACATTCTGTTTACGGCATCAAAGATAAGATATCCGTGCAAGCGATTTTAGAGAACGATATCTCCGCAACTTCGCCTGGGGGCTCGACCTCAGAGTCTAGTCCATCTCTGGATCCTTGAAGTCCATCGCGGTCAATCTCAGTAGCCACAACTTTGAGTGCCCTGCTCGCCGAGGTGACCTTCGCCTCCCCTATTTTTGTTTGGTAGAATTGTGCTGTGCTAAGCAGCCGAGCTAAGATGATCTCGGCAGGTTGTTCTGTGATCCAAGAGGTCCTCCGGTCCTCATGAGGAATGGTCAACGTTTGGAGCAGAGCCAATTGAGCCTCAAGAACAGGCGCAGATCGCACCAGCTCATACTGTCACAGAGATCATACACGCGGATTGTCAAAGCTAAATGATCCGACATACCACAAATTGATGGATCGCTTGAGGTGTCGGCAAGAATAACTGACACTTGGCAAGACAAAAATCAAGCAGCAGGATGGTCTATTATGGATTGAGTGCTGTGCAGAGTACATGATTGTGGACGCACTGCTCGACAAAGCTGTTCAATCCCACCAGTTGTGGCCAGATTATCCAGTTTGGAAGAGAGAAATCCGAGTACCCCAATGACTGAGGTCCAGAGTTCGTGCCAGTGATACTCTGCAAGGTGAAATTTGAGATCCGCTATGGACGACACTGCTCACCCAGTCTAATGTGTGCTTTGAATACGAACCAAACCACCCTGTACACAATCCAGATGCAGGTTCTGATACCATCAGCAACAGTCAAGCTCAAAACTGAATGACGCACATATATGATTGCACCTCCAACCTCTTATGTAGGTTATGCCTCAGCCAGAGGACGCAGCAGTCTAGTATGGCGCACAACGGTGGTCGTTTTGGTCCAGGAACAGGTAAAACAGGTGGCCGCTGCCGACACAGTCGAATTTTCTCATCGCTTGGTTGTGAAAAGGCGATCAGAACGCCGTTGTTTTGCACCAAACATAAGAGAATGTTGAGACACAAATTCGCGTATCCGATAGCGCGCGGTGAAGACGTCGAAGATGCGTGGGTCAACACGTAAGACGAAAGCGATATGAGCGTAGCTGGTGGGGACGACTCTGAGCTGGATTTGGTCTCTGGCGGCGCAATCAAGATCAGAGGGAAAGTTGGATTGATCCTCGTGAACTCAAAGAGCGGCAAAAGAACAACGCCTGCCTCGATGGGTCTCCCAATTCGTGTGAGCCCGAAGCACTATGAGCAAAGGCCAACACTGACTGGTTTTTGAACACCTCTCTCGGAGGCTCCGGAGTAGAAAGGGCACGATCGGGTCGCAGCATAGACATCATCGATCCCAAAGCAGCAGTGAACGTTTGTGCCGGATCGTCGTCAGAGATTTCCTGGTATGTTCTGGGACAGGTGAGACTGTTGTAATCGAGATAGACCCCATTCGTACTTGATGACAGCATCCAAAGCAAAGTTGGAAGCCCAGCAGATTTTGCGCATCAAGTCCTGGTCGTCCGTCTCATGTATCCGTTGGAGATACGGGTTGGACTTGCTTTTGTGGAAATTGGCCAGAAGGGTCAGTCTGTCGGGGCGTGTGAGATATCCAGCAGTTCATCCGAGTAGCCAACCAACAAGAGAACAGCTTCAAATGTGTACATCTCAGTTTCCGGAGACTTGATGAACTGCAGCTTGTTGAGCGACGAGAAGGGCACATAACAGTCGACGATTCATACAGAGGCAATGGACGGAAACAAGTCGAGCCTCAAGAAGTAAGCGCCGGGACTTAGCTGCGTACAGTCAGAGAGCAGGATGTCGTGTCCGCAGGATATCATACCTGCCCAATCCCACACATGAAAGTCCTAAAGTTCCAGCTCAGCAAACGAACAGATATCGTATTGCATTACACGCACAAAGTCAGCTGGAGCACCTGGTGCCGGAATTCGACAGGTATATCCTCATTGGAGAGCGACTCGTGGGCAATCGTTGTGAATTCCTGACAAAAGGCTCGTCTTCGCGTCTCACCCATCCTCCGAAACGCGTCGCACGCACCGTAAACACCGCGTCGCCCTTGACGCCTCCGGCCATAACCTCCATAACCTCATACCCCGTCGGATTCTTCGCGAAAAGAGACCGACAAAGGATAGACAGCGTCTCCAACGCGTGCTTCTTCGAGTCGTCGCTAGGTGCTGCCGCGCTGGCATGGCGCAAGCAGGCACGGAACAATGCATTGAACGTAGGCTACTGATTCGTCGCGTAAGCTCCCACTCAGAAGTTTCGTGATGCGCGTTATCCGACCTTGAGCGGCCCAAGGAGAGCCTCCATCGGAATGTTCCTCAGTTCATGGGTCAGGAACTCGCGATCAACCGTGAAAGTGAGCAAGTCTGCGTAGAACTCTGGGTTTTCGATAGGTTCTGCGCTGAGAATCGTTCTGTAACGAGAGATGATCTGGGACTGGAGGACAGAGGCTCTCCGAGAGTGGGGAAGCATATTGCGATGGAAGGTAAATTCAAAGCTATGTGGTGGCGGTACACCAGTGGAAAGGTTTGATGAACAAGAGCAGATGCTCTCCCTTGTAATTACAACAGAGCACCCAGTACAACACGCAAGAACTAAATACCTCATGCAGATGGCTTCAATGAACAAGAAGCAGTCTGTTCAACGCTACCAGGTCCATTGCTACTCAGTCAAGTGCGCCGATGCTGTAGCAGTGAACGCCGATCGAACAGCCACATGTCAATGTCAAACGATGACACTCAGGGGTCAGCGATGGAATCTTCCAACATCTCTTGAATCCATCCAGACAAGACCTCGTGCTTGATCTTGACTCTCTCCATGAGATTGCAGACGCCAAAGAAAGCTTTCCTACCCCGGGCCTCCCCTTTCAGCTCCATGTCTGGCGACATCTCGACCGCAGACTGTAGGTCTGCGTCGTCATCCACCACACCCGGAAAGCCAAAATGATCTGCGTCTGCTCTGGGGGCTTCCTCCGAGCTGACGAAAGACACACGAAACAGGATTCTGATGCAGAGCAATGCGGTCAAGGAAGTGTGGGGTGGGTCGATGGTCGCTTGCTGGTACTCGATCTTGGTATTTGGGGGCGGGGGAACGGGGCGGGTCGTCGGGTCTGGTGTTGGATGGGGGAATCCAGCTGACGAGAGCGTGACTTGATCGCTCTGGGACGGGGGCATCACAGGTGTTTCTGTACCAGCAAGATGCGTGAGGATATGTGACCGAAGTGCTGCTTTGGGTAGACTCGGCTGTTGACACGTCGACCAAAGACACGGGCCCTCGGGCTCTGTCATCGCGTCGAGGTGCTCGATCAAATGATCAAACAAGAGGCCGGGGGATTCAAAGACAGGATGCGAGCAGGATTCTCGCCACATGCACTGGAAGCGGTCCGTCTTGCGACGGTCGACGCCTCGGACGACGAACTTTTGTTGCCCGTCGACATTCAGAACCATCGCTTGAGCGGTCGGGAAGACCATGCTGACGTTCTTGATCACCTCCGATGCGACAAGTAGTGGAACGGGGCTCTGCTGGGGCAGGAACGTGTCCTTGTACAAGTTCCAGAATTCGACTTGGGTCAGTTCTCCGTCGGGTTTGGGTAAGAACATGATCTTCATCCTGGCCATCCCATCAACGACTGGCCGAAGTGAAATAAAGGCCAACATACCATTCATAACACCGCTGAGGTTCTGGCTGAGGAACCAAGGAAGCCATCTCCTGTGGGCTGAGCTCATAAGGCTTCATCGTTACAGCCGGCGCAGTATGGATAGCCCCCATGACTTCCAGTGTGACGGTCTCTTCGACCTGTTCGCTCAAAATGAAGTTGACCAGCATCCTGACCGTGTTTGAAAGCTCGGGATGATGGAGAAATGCCTTGGCCATGGCGGGATGTGAAAGATGCACATACAGGTAGTCGAGACATGCTTCGACTAGCGGTTTGTCCACAAATAGCGGCAGATAACGCAGAGCTGTGGCAAGCGCAGGCGAACCGGACGACAGGAGGAATGTGTTCAGGGGATTGTCGAAGATGTCCGTGAGCGTAGTCAAGGACGAAAGAATGAGGGATCGATTCCTGGACGTTTCAGCAATGAAGTTCAATGGAGGTACCGGGTTCCAGCGCGTATGGACCAAGTTCGCCGTCACGGCATAGTTCGAGGCGAGCGAACGGAACAACTCCATCAAGTGAAACAGAAATTCGACGTGTTCGTCGTAGTCGGGGTCCAGCCTCGTGAGGCCGTTGAACACAAGGGGCATGGTGTGTCCGTGTTCCAACAGTTCAGCGCGGTTTTCTGGGTCCATTGCCGCATTGCGCAAGACAGCCAACGATTCCAAGGCATGGCGTCGTTTGGTTGAGACTTCCGGCGGCACAGAAAACAGGGAGTGCATCTCGTTAGAGGTCTGCAGCCCATCGGACACATACCACTCGGGCCACTCGTACAAGGCATCCCTCAAGCCCGATATCTTCTTCAACGAGAAGTCCTCATTTCGGCTGAGCCGCAGGATGCGATCCAGGGCCCAGTTGATCTCTGATGGAATTTGAGAGCGGAGTGCTAGGACCATTCGGTTGTTCGGGACGTTCTCCGTGTACCAACCTGGAAACATGCAGTCATTACAACCATTTCCAGCTCATGCGACACTATGCGACGGACGTTCATAGTCGTCTGTGACTGTCTGCGGCGCAGGACGATCAGACTGCGCTGTGGCTTGCGGCGTGTACTGTTGGCGATAATACTGTCTGCCAGCTGTTTTATTCTGCGCGTGCGGTGTCGACATGGCACGCGTCTCGCACGCGATGGTTTTTGTGAAGGGGGTCACGCGTTTGTCACATTAACACACACAAGTATTACGTGAGCAGGTATCTAATACACATCGTCCGGATAGGCGGTCTGCAGCTCCGGGCTTGGGAGCCAGCGACCCGGGTTGTTCGGTGAGGCAGTGATTGCGTCGCTAAAGAAGCGAGGAAGGGACGCGACATTGCTCAGAAAAGTGGAGGCAAGCTCCAAGGTCAGATCGACGTCGTGTGAAATGTTTTCCTCTGCGACATCTAAATATTGATATAGTCAGAGAGAGGACGCGGCTCAAGATATATGCTGACAGCGTTGACCCCCCTCCAAAGAGTAAACTTGATAGAAGGGCTGTGCTGGGCCCCGAGCAAGGTCTGCCACACGCATTTGTCTTTGCCATTCAATGCTGGCCGCGCAGGTGGTCTGTGCAAGGATCAGATTCTGGACAGAGGACACCGACGTCGCCTACATCCCAACCGAAGATGACACCCGTATATTGCCTTGATCGGTGCGTGAAGACTTTGCCGACGCGATGGCTCACGGGGGTTTCGATGGAACGCCGGTGAACGACCTGCGCGTGATCGTCCTCATGCATGATGACTTGTTCGCAGGTGGACTGCAGTAGACCGCGAGGTGCGCGGTGCATGAAAACGGAAATATCTGCGAGGACGGTGGTACAGTGCAATGGATCCAAGTCGATATGCCGGAGCATGTGAGCTGTCGATAACTCGTCACTGTTGAAAAGAAGATGAATCGACGCAGCGGCTTCAATTGCTGATTGTGTTATTGGGGACAAAAACTCTGTTCCAGAGAAGGAGAGGATGTTTCTTGCAGCGCGAAGTAACATCGGAACAGGCCCGCATGGCATAATGTACGATGCAATCTGATCTGGAGGAATACCCAGCCGCATAAGCATGAAAGGGATGTCGTCTCTGAGTGTCACAATCGTCTTCACTTCCGCCCCAAAGACATCTACCAGGAAGTCGTCTTGTCCCGGAGGACAGGGAATGTGAACCAGCACTCGAGTGGGGAATCCAACGGGGGAGGCATCTATTCCCAGACCGTGAGCGATATGCACGAAGACATGGACCAGTGCGATGGGGATCGTTCGTTTCTTGCTGGTCAGATATAAGTGCGGGAATTGATTGGAAACGTCGTGAAAACTTTGTGCTAGAGGACGAGGATATCAATAGATAGATGAGGGGACAGGTCACTCACGTCCTACTGGTCCAAATCCCTGTCTCTTCATGAAAACACAGATCTGCTCGCATATCACAGGCAGTCGATAATCCGCAGCAGCCGAGTCAACGGTGATCCGTTCATCGGCCAAGTATCGCAGACAAGAACTGCTCAGCGAGGACAGCCTGTCGGAGATCTGCAGCGATGGTTAGCGTGTTCGGACGCCGGTGCGGCTCTTCCCTGTGCACCTCGCGAGCTGGTGTCCCGAAGAAGCAAGAGAGAACGGAGAAGGCATCGACAAACGTCAGGGACTGCTCATCGTTAGTGAGTGGTCCCCATTGGGCTATAGCATATCGTCGTGTGATAATGTTCATGGCCGTGCGCGCCCAGTATCGACGCGTCAGCATGTGGGGTTTCGCGCGTGCATCTCCACCCAGGCTCGGGGGTAAAGGCTGCAAGGTCTCGATCTCCAACGCGTCCCAAATATGGAATCCCATCGCCGTGAGGTGGGCTACATGCTCAGGGCGCCTTCGGCGTTGCGATGCGATCGTGTCAAGGATCTCGAGAGCAATAGCATCCGCTCTTCGTCGTTCGGCGTATAAGATTCGCCATTGGGGGTCTGAGCCCACAATCTCGATTGGATAGAGGTATCGGGTCCGGTAGTGAGCCTTCCAAAGAGATCCCACGAGTGCTGCCTCCCTGAGTAGCTTGCTGCACCGAAGAAACTGGGCCAGGACACGGATGCTCTCATCGTTCGTGCGGTTCGGAGGCAAGTGGCTGAGGAACGCAACATAGATGTCCAGGGGAAGCGCAGCTACCATCGATAAACGAAAAAGGATAGAATGTAGAGAGAGGGCCTGTGAGCTTCAGAGAGTCGGCGTCGCTGTGCTCATGCGACTTGTCTTGACAATGATCACGAGCTTGGAGGCGGAGGTATGTCATTCACGATCATGTGATAGGCTTCGACTTCCATTTACTGTCACTGCCGTTGAATAATCACACGATGGTTCTCTCTTGTGTATCATCAGGATCACCAGGCTGGGTATCTTCTCCAACCCTATAATCTCACGATAGCGTTGTGTTTTACAGGAACAATGCAAACGGTCGGCTGATTCGCGGATCGGCCCCGGCGCAGTTGGCTACGTCTGCTCGCAGAGGCTGCGGGTCGCCTACTGGTCTGTTATCTCTGATGCACGGCCTGCCGCCCCCGCAACATCATCGCTCGCTACAAGTATGCCTGTGGAGACCGACAATTTACTTATCATCATTCAAATTCGCCAAGTGCGGATTCCCGTATATCCCGCTTCCTTGATGTGATCCTTGGGACCTGAGGCCTGATCCCCCCCACTTCATCGACGCTTCCGGCGCAGCTATCTTATCGTCGCTACATAAAAGCACCACGGCCCAGAAGCATCAAGTGAGTCTGCCGCTTCCTTTGCCCCGCGTTTACACGCCCAATGGAGACGCCGCCAGTCCTTCCCGAGCTCGCTCGCAAGCCAAGCTCCCGGTCAGAAATCATCGACGAGAAGGTGTCCTTCGATGGCAAGGATGAGCCCATCACCGCCAACATCGATATCGGTGAAGTCTGCGAAGACATCCGTGCCATCGACATGGACGAGAACGGGAAGGAGAAGCCCATCGGTGAGCTCGAGTCCCACTGTCCGTACAACTCGGTGCTAATTCAGTAACAAAGAATCCGCTCTGGATTGGAGTCTCCGGCTGATTTCGCTACACGACGACCCCACCTTGCCCATGTGGACGTTCCGGATGTCAGTCTGCATTCTGTTGCACCTAGCGCGTGCGCGTTGCTCATAGAACTCTCAGGTGGTTCGTTGCCATCGGTCTCTCTGCTTTCGGTGCCGTCTTGGGAGAGATCTTCGTGAGCGCTTATGCGGGCTGGATCAGTGGCACATCTGAACTTGGCTCAGTCTTTCCGTCCTCAAGGAGTGTATGTCAGTCAGCTGTTCCTGCAAGTCGCCAGTTTCGCGCTGGGCAAGTGCGTACTAGACCGCATTCACGTACCGCAGTTGGTTCAACATAAACAGGGTCCTTCAAAAGATCATTCCGGGACCCGGACACGACTTCATGAAGATGTCCGACAATCGTTTCTGGCGCTTCATGAACCCTGGACCTTTCAACATGTACGCTTGATTCCCGGACTGGTTAGTGAAACAAGTGTTCAGCTGCTACTAGCAAGGAAAATGCGGCTATTCTCATCATGGCAGCTGCTGCCACCCACGGTGCTCTCGCAAGTACGTAGACCCGGCCTGGACAGTGACTGGGGACTGATTTTTTCTTCTAGTCAACATCTTCGCTGCGGATGACCTGTTCTACCATTTCACCCCGAACCCTGCCATCGCTGTCTTCACCTTGCTCGGTAGTCAGCTCCTCGGTTATGGGCTCGGAGGCATGATGCGGTGCGCTGTCTGCTTTGCGGTTTCGAGAATGGGTCTCATTTGCAAACACAGCTCTTTCCTCGTCTATCCGACGTACTGCGTTTTCCCCAACGTCGTTCCGACCGTGCAGATGTTCGATGTGCTGTTCCGTAGCCAGGACAACATCCTGCAGAAGAAGAGAATCAAGTTTTTCTGGGTTTTATTCGTAAGCGCGCTTCCATCGCACTCTCAACTTCGAGGCTGAGCTAGGGAATACCTGATAGGTTGGAATTGTGAGTCTTTCCTTTGCACTTTGCTCGTTGACGGATATTGATCCGTGATCGCAGTGTAAGTTCCGCTCGTCAATCTTGTATCCTTTCCGCTAACCGCTAACTTGCTTCAGTCGTTTGGGAATGGTTCCCCGGTTCGTCATTCCCGAAAACTCTACTGTATCTCTGTTGGATACAAACTTTCACATCCAGAGTACATCGCTCCGACGCTAACCGGTATCTCCATCGTTTGTCTTGCTCGTCAAAACAGCGCTTGGGTCACACGCATCTTCGGTGGAGCTGCCGGTAACGAAGGTCTCGGGCTCTTCTCCATCTGTCTCGACTGGAACTACGTGGGATCTGGTGGCTCAGCGTACGGCGCTTTGTTCCAGCCTCTGTCCACGCAGCTCTCCCTCTTCGCCGGTGTGCTCATTTGCATGTGAGTCCGAGTGGATGATGCCTCGAATTCTCATCCGATCCATTTGTAGTCTGTCCTTCATCGGTGCCTATGAGACCAACTGTAAGTAGTCTGGCCCACATCTCCTGTCCTGCTTATCACTCGATGTAGCCTGGAAAGCCCAGAGCTTCCCCTTCCTGTCTCAGGTTCGTATTGGTTTCCTCTCGGAAGTGAAATATTTCTCTAAGGATGATACCCCAGCTTCTGTTCTATGAAGACGGAACCCCTTACAACCAGACGCTTATCCTCAACGACGATTACACGATCAACAGCGAGAAGCTCGCGGTCCAGGGCCTACCGTGGATGGCGACCTCGTACGCTATTGCTAAAGTTGGAGGCTCGCTTTCCTTCGGTGCTACGATCACGCACATGGCCTTGTGGAACGGCAAGCAGATTTGGGCCGCGATCAAGTCCTCGCGGTCCGATGGTTGCGACGACCCGCACTACCAGAAGATGAAGGTCTACAAGGAAGTTCCCTTCTGGTGAGTCTCTTCGGCCTGAAGATGCAGGGCTTGGGGCTGACTGAGCGCAGGTGGTATGCTGCTATTTTCATTGCTTCGCTGGCGATCGGACTCGCTACGAACTACACTGCTGTGAGTGCTACGAGTAGACTGTTATCTGCGGGTCCTCTCACAAGGCATGCAGCACTCCCAGCTCCCTTGGTGGGGATTCTTTATCGCGGTCGGATTTGCGGCACTTTTCCTGCCCATCATCTCAACGCTCTACGCTATTCTGTGGTTTGCACCCTTTCCCACAAATTGCTTGCCTCTCCTTAGCCTGTTTGTATTCCACAGCTATGTGCCAGGAACAGAGGACGTGGCCCGTGTAGGCTTGCTCGAGTAAACATCTTGTTTCGGCCACTGACGACTCGCGCAGATGCTTGCCGCTGGGTTCTTCCCGGGAAAGCCCCAGGCCAAGTGCGATCTCTCGTTCCGTTTAGCATGATGACTGAGATCCCTACAGCATGTACTTCACTCTCTACGCGTAAGAAGACTGTGGCTCCGGTCTTGCTGTTGAAGCTGACCACTTACCCAGTTTCAATTCGACTGAGCAAGGTCGTTCGATGACGAGAGATTTGAAGATGGGCCAGTACATCAAGCTTCCTCCCAGAGTGTGAGTCTTTAACTTTCAACCCATACAAACGTCTGTGTCCTGACGCGCGGCAGCACGTTCACCATGCAGTCTTTGGGAGCCGTCATCGGGGCTATGATCAACTACATCATCATGAAGTCGATCATCTCCTCGCACAGGGACATCTTGACCTCCGTGCAAGGTACCAACACCTGGAGCGGTGCCGGCGTCCAATCATTCAACGTCAGCCCCTTTGCTCATTTGTTTCTCGTTGGTCCATCTGAACCATGCGCAGAGTGATGCCGTGTCCTGGTCCCTCGGAAAGCAGCTATACTCGCCTTCTGGAACATATGGAGTGAGCACCCACCCAGCCGCCAGCCCTGAATCAAAGCTCAACTTGTCCAGATCATTCCTCTGAGCATCATCATCGGCCTTGTGATTCCGATCCCATTCTACTTCCTGCACAAATACTTCCCGAAAGCCCACTTCGACAGCGTTATCACACCTATGATTTGCTCTGAAATCGGGTATCTTTCTGGTGCGTGTCCCTGGTTGTGATCGTCTCGGCCCTGCAGTGAACTCTGAACAGGCGGTATCAACTCTTCTGTTTTCACGACGTTCTTGCTTTGCATGTTCTCCCAGTACTATGTGAGTTTTGCGCATCTGCAGATCGTGCCAGTGGCTGATTTTGGATCACAGCTCCGCCGCCGTCATCCTGGGTTCTTCCGCAAGTACAACTTCTTGTAAGTCCCACTGTGGATGTTTCCAGTTCGCAGCTCATCGTGTGGTAGGATGTCCGCGGCGTTGGACGGTGGAACTGAGGTCATGACTTTCGTGTACTCTTTCGCTGTCGGTGGAGGTTGGTTTTTCTCCGAAGATGAGCAAACTAGACACTGACAAAACCCTCAAAGCTGGCGGAAAGACGGTTGCTTTCCCCAACTGGGCGCTCAACCCGGTCGGCAACCCCGACTACTGCTCTAGATTGACCTGAGCGATCGATCGCACTATGTGCCGACGATATATGTATGCGTTTCCATGAATCACACGATGTAGACACGAATATTCTCGGATCAGGGCGAGAGAGATACAATGAATATATTATCAACCTTCTTCGAGATCGTCCTCGTCCACATTCGCCTGATAGAAAGCGTACAGTCTGCGTCGACTCGCGTCTCTAGTCTCCGGTTCGCCAGCCACCTCTAACAGTCGTTGCAGCAGCCGTTTGCGCACCACCAGAGGCTCCGCGATGCCTGTAGAAGGATCGTCGAAGCACGAGTTCGAGACTATGGTTGGATAGTCCGAGTCCCGCGCCTGTGGATCGAGCCGAATGCGTTTCGCCGGGTGTGGATCCTCAACAACGGAAGAGGGAACTAGGGAGGAGAACAGAGGCTTGAAGACTTCCGTTTCGATGCGGGCATACGTCGTTTTTGTCAGAGTGCGGGCTGCTAGATGGAGGAATGGGGAGATCACTGTGCACAGGGGTGCTGGAGCCGGGGGAGAGTCTGAATCGGTATCTCTTGAGCTTGCCAGCGCTTTCTCCAGCTCCTCCAGATATACGTCGCAGATGTGATACGCAAGACTTGTTGGCACGCGGCTGTCAGTCGAACTGGCAGACGTTTCGTGGTCAGCTGTGTTACAACTTCTTCTGTGTCAAGCACACGCACCATAACGGTCCACCGGCAGAGGTCAAGATATCGACGTGGGTGTCACAGGCGCTCTTCTCCCAATCCGAGCGAATCAACAGCCTGAATGTAGCGTTGATGAATCTCCGGACCAGCATGTAGTATTTGTCGATTCTGCACTGGCTATGAGCAACAGCCACCAATAGCCTCCTCAATAAACAAACGGACCGCAGTCTGTCGATACCACTCCATTCCCGGACAGTAGTAGACCAGAATCCTTGCAGAAATTCCAGTGCCCGTGGCGTTGAAGGTATCGTTAACAACAGATCAGCCATCTCGGAGGCTAGGGCCTGCTGGACCAGCGGCTTGTCCGACATCCAAAAGCCTGGTCCTATCAGACAAGGGAGGCAGCGAGATGCCAATGAAGGGCGCACAATAGAAGATCCCCTTCCACAATTTATCCATCTCCAGCTTCGGGATGGGCTCTTGGGATTCATGCGAGAGAAAGGCGGCCAATGCTTTGACTGACTTATCGCGCGTTTTCTTGTCTTCCTAGCAATCAGATGTAAAGCAATGGGAGTAATTAGTGCTGAGAGCGCACCGTTTGCCGCCAGGTGCTTCGCAAACGGCGGAACGTTCATGATGTAGCTCGCAGTCCTAGTCCAAAAACTTTTTGGAAGAGCCATCACGAGCGTCGCTGATTGACACACGTCAAGTATTATCGATAAGGGGAGATTACGACCGCTCTTCGCAAACGACCATACCATGTCCAAGTCCCCGATTACTTGCCATGGTACCGCCCTCGGCTAATTATTGCCTGATTTCAGCATCTAATTAACGGATAGTTTTGGACTCATCTCTCGGAAAGCCTGCTGAAGGTGTTCGAGTTCGTTTGATGTTCTACGGCGCCGCGGCTGAGGAGGCTACGACCGGCGCGACAAGCGGGGTGGTATCCTTAGGTTCGGGGTAAGTGGCTCCCCCGCTTTGCATGAAGAGGCTGAGTACCCCGACAGGCAGACCAATTCTGACGGCCGATGCATCGATCTGCTCCCGGCGCGTGAGGTCCAAGCACTGTCTGCGGGCATTTACAAGATAGTTTTCGAGACCAAGGTAAGTTTCGAGAGCACGTATAGCATCATCTCGCACAACCTCTCTCAAGGATTACTTTACGGGGACCGAAAGGAAGTGTTTCTATCCCTTCGTCGAGGTACGAGATCCATGTTCTCCCACTGTCCGTGATTTCACCGACGATCCAGATCACCTTCGAGGTCGAGACTCCAGAGCAGCATTACCACATTCCGCTCTTGATCAGCCCATACTCGTACACCACCTACCGCGGCAGTTGAAAGCAATTGAAAACACGAGTTGATGAAGCATGCATTTGTTCCACAGCAATGAGAAAACGATAGTCTACTGTGTAATTCTACGCCGCCAGATGTAATTAGCATTACGGGGACGATGATTATGGGATAGTTGTGCAGTGCAGAGAACGGAGTACAGATGATAGAACAGGATAAACACAGAGAAAGACTCATCGCACAAGGACGTTGGCGTATTGCACGCCCTTCAGGTTATGCCCACGCATGGAAGCCTTCACATTCGCCAAGAATTGGTCCCGGTTCTTACTCATCTCAATCGCGGCCTCTGAAGAAATGAGTCAGCCAACCGGTCTTGTTCTGTAGAGACCAGATCACGCACCTTTATTCAATGGGTCATCCGCGTTCGGCTCTAGGAACAAGTACTGGAGCCCGACCATGACAGAGTTCAAATTGAGCACAGGCTTCCAGTCCTCTCGTAAGATGTTTAGGCAGACGTTTCCCTCCAAATCGACGTTAGGGTGGTAAATCTGCCATGATGAGACCGTTGGTAAGCCGAGTCAACAGAGGATGGAGGATGACTCGGACCGTTTGCGTGCACTTGACCTTTGGAGGGTCGTGTGGGTAGTTCGTGTTGATTGCGAAGGAGAACACAAAGGCACCGCCCTGGTACATGCCTGTGAAGTATTCTTCATGAGTGAGGGAGCAAGTGTCTATGAAGGGGACCGCACCCTCATCTGGTGTGATGGTGAGGGTGAAGTTGAGGAGATCAGCGGGATCAGGGAAATGCGTCTTCATCGTCGAAGGAAGGTCGAGTTCAGTCAAGTCTTGCAACCGGAATAAGCTCCGTTTCGAGATTCTAGAAGTTCGCGCACCTTTCTGTACGCGAATCTGAGCGGCGCTGGTCTTGGGTTTCTTCTTCGCCGCCGCATCCTCATTCTTCTTCATGCTCCAAATCTAGACAAAACATCGATCAGACTCGTCCGCTAGCTGGTGGGCACGCTTATTTCACTTTGATCATCGTGCTTGAGTCGTAAGTGGTCGATCCGACAAGTAGGTAGTGGGGGGAAGACAAGTGGTCGGGCACAGCCGCAGCATGGCCCTGATGATTAGTATGATTGACAGCGTTTGTCGTACATTCGTGAAATTAGGACATGAAACAATGCTAATGGTACGGTAACGAGAGCTTTTAAAGTTCATACATGGCGCCCGAATCTTCCTCACGAGTCCGAACGCGACGGGGTGTCCCCGATATCTAGCTCGTTCACACTCTTGGAACGCTCGTGGACGACAGGCGGGGAAGCATTCGCAGCGGTGCCATCGGACCGCGAAGGCGCGACGGGAGGCGCCCTCGGAATCTGGGACGATGCAGCCCCATTCGTCGAACCCGTCGGTGCCGGCGAAGCGTTATTTGCCATACGCTGGTCCAAAGCCTTGAGAGCCATGGCTCTGAATACACAATCAGTCAAGTCCAGATAGAGCTAAACACTGTTTTCACCGTCTTCTTTCAGCCTCTGCGCGAGCGCTACCGGGAGCCTGGCTGTAAGCCCCACTCTCGAGGTCTGCTCCAGATGTTGGAATGAGATGGAATCGGGTGGCCAGCATATACACAGTGTTCCCGAGGATCGAGATGGGATAGCTAGAGGGCTCATGAGTGGATGTTCTTCGTTCCTCGCATCGACGTACTGAGCGAAAGGAGGGAACCAAGATACAAGTGAGAAGGTTTCGCTTCGATCACCGTATGTATCCGTGCCTCCAACAGTATCGCTGGTATTCTTCTTGTAGAAACGGAGGTAGATCCAGCCGACAAACCAGCCGAACTGGATCACAATCCATGGGCACTGGAAGCCAACCAGACACAACACAGTCGACAGGGTCAAGTATGCCATTGGTATACTCTATGGGAGAAATGTCAAAAGCTCAGCTGGAGAGAATAAGACGAGCGCACTTTGACTCTGGCCTTAAAGATACCCATAATCTGTACTTGATGCTCAGGAATGAGTTGCGTAAATGCCACCAGGATGGCTGTTTGCAGAGCCATTTGTCCATGATATTCCATTCCATACCTGGGGCATCTTCAGAGTCTATTAAGTAATGAAAAACGACATGTACGCACAAAAACAGGTCTGCATCTCGTAAAACAATGAACTCTATCCAGTTCAACCCGAAGGCTATCACGTTGGACAATCCGACCGACACGACGATAAATTTGAGGGTTTCGATACTGCCCCAAAGGCGTTCCAAGTATCGAAGCGAGGCTGGGACAAAAATGAGGCTGGCCACGAGCTGGACAAGTGACAGTCAGCAGACTTGTTAGCGCGCGTCAAATATGGAAGGGTATACCTCGAAAATGCTGGTTTCAATCAGAGCAGATGTGACAAAAGTCCACGGATAAAAGAGGCTAGAGCCAGGGACGACGTTGAGATATGGGGCGGACTCTACACCGTTCCAGCGTAACCATGCATAGAAGATTGAGCAAACAATCGTTCCGGCCGTAAAAGCACGCGTCACTGGAGGAACGGATGTAATAAAAAGGAGAGGCGAGGCAAGGACGGCCATTGTGGTGGACAAGGATGCGACCACGAGGCGACAGCAGAGAGGAGCAAGTTTGTGAAGACCTTCGGTGTCCGAGAACGTCTCTGTCACAATTCAGGCGCAGTGTCACATCTGATCATTGATTCTGGGCCGTCGGTTTCTCACACTCATGAGCGACTACGACTTTCGCCCCAGTGGCTCCCTGAAACTCAAGGGGGTTGCTGAGGGCGGAATTGTTAAGAAGTGAACTTTGCCCTTGATCCTTTTCCACTCCTCTGACGTACTCCAGGAAGAAGAAAAAGTCCAAAAGCAAGGCGACAGAGATCGAAAGCGGCGCGGTCAGCGACTTGATCGAGCAGGCTACGAACCCCTCCAGAAGCAATCCGGGAAGCGGCAGCTCTACCCCAGCCGTGCGAAACTCCGAAACCAAGAAGACCGACGCTGAACGACGCTTCGAAGAAGTACAAAAACGTCGAGTGCGCGCGCCTGGCTACTACTGTCTGTCCAACATGTTGACTCGGGATGCATAGCTCGAACGCCGTATCGCGAAGGTCGCACACAAGACGCACAAGGAGCGCGTGAGCGAGTTGAACGCACATCTTGAGTCTCTCAGCGAGCACCACGACATTCCCAAGGTACGTTTCTAACCTGCAACCCAATTACCTTGTGCTCAATACCATCCAGGTTGGGCCGGGATAAGACGAGCCTATGCGCTGTGTCGAGTGGTTGTTGTATATCTCTTGTTTGCCTGTATTCATAAACATCGCCGATAGAACCCAGAGTCTTTCCCAGAGAGTGGACATTGTGCATGTAGGCCCTAGGAACTTCTATCGGAGCTACATGCGTGCATGACAATGCATCTGAGAATGCCTAATCTGAGTCTGTGGGGAAAGCATGTTTGTCTCTGTTGCGTAATTGTTTCCGGACTTCTCCTTTACACACTCCTTGCTCTCCGTCGTGTCTACGAAATCCAAGATGTCCGGACCAGCTTCTGGCTCTGCAGACCGTCGGGGCCATGTATGCCCGCCATCAGATGCCGCTCATCCAAGTGACCGCTGGGAATCTATGTTCATTTACTCCTTCATCTGCAAATTCACGAACCTCCGGGCCAAGGTCGAAGGGCTCGAGACGCCGATGGAGTGTGTCCACCCAACTGCCTGAATCTGAACTCTAGGCTCATGAAATGACGGGAATAGCCTCGAGGAGGCTCTTTTGTCGCGCGAACCCAATACCATCCTTACCGAACTCCTTGCGCGATTCATTCTCAATCTGAAGCCTCAGACGCGTAACTTGAGGTGAATTGTTTGGATATTACTCGGGCCCACTGTAGGTCTCTAATGCACATTGTCGGTGGGACAGTATCGATCAGATATCGACTACCGTAGCTTCTGTCCTCGGCGACTATCTGAAGAGCAACGAGCGCACGATCTTCTGGGACGACTATCTCAAGTTAAATAAGGACCCATTTGAAGATCTGGACGGTGGTTTTTTCTCGGCGGACTGGGATTTCAAGGTTTGTGGAGTGTTCTGTGACGGACGCCCCACGGCGCTTATTTTGTCTTTCTGCGCGTCAACTAGCTCAAAATACTGCGACAATTGGTGGAACTGCAACTGACGCATAACTCCGACATAAAGAACACGATTGATCGCGCTTGGGGCGTGTCACATCGGAAAAAGGACACGGCTACTGGTCAAACCGACTCTAGTGAGGCTGCGACCCAGGCAGAACTCCAACACGTCCCCATTGGCCAGGACGTTCAGAGAAAACGTTATTGGGTTGTTGATGGTCCGTGGCTCTCTTCCTACCATGCTGCTTGGTATTTGCCCATATTTGGGCGAGGATGATCTCCAAGCGTCCTCAAACGTCTCCTTCTATCCCGATCAGCACGTCTTTTCTGTCATTGCAATAACTTATACTATGGCCAACAGATTCACCACGACTCTATGTGTCGACGAATCCGTGGAAAATCACAGCGACATTTCAGACTGTGGCGTCAACCCGGGAAGAATATCTCGAAGTAATCGAGAATTTGAGGAAGGACCTTCCTACTACCCAATTGAAGAAAGGCGAAAAGCGCTCGAAGATGGAATTATCCCATATCTCTCTGGTTTCAAGTTTAGAAGAGCGGATTGATGCTATTGACATCGAATTGGCCGTGAGTTCCTTCGGATTGTTTCCGGATTCACAGATGGAAGTTCTCGATTCGAGAAGCAGCTCTGACACAGACTTGACAGCGCGTGGAGAAAGCACGAAAGAAAATTGAACAGCGACGCGCCGCCATCGCCCGAGCTGCACAGGTGGAAGTTCGTACCACCAGGACGCGGCGACAAGCACGGAAACCTGATTACGTGTATAATAACGCTGACTTTGATGATGAGGCAAGCCTGTGATCCCTTTCATCTTGGATGGATTCTGACGAACGAATAGGACGATGGGGATTTCAACTACCAAGACACGCCGGAAATGGACGACGAATTTGAGGAATTTGATGACGACGATGACCGACCGAGTCGCAGAGCAGGAACCCGGAGATCGACACGAACTGCAGTCGTCAATGCAAACAACCAGCGACAGGCCGCGACTGAGCCTCAGTGGCGGGGAGAACGTCGATCCTTGCGATTAGGAGCAGCCCCCGACACGCAGCTAGATCTAGAGCCTCCCAAGAAGCGGGCAAGGACTGAGGACAGCACGATGAGCTCCTCCGGGGCCGAGTCAAGCTCGCATGCTCCTAAATTCCAGCCCTCAGGCGCAGCAGCTCTCCGGCCGAACGAAGTTGCCATGGAACAAGTGGCTGGCAAGCGCAAGTCCAAGTTTTGGGTATATGCTGTCGAAGGTGCCTCTGATCCGGAGCCTTTCGAAAACGGTGGCGGCGGCGCCGACGAGACTATTGATGCTGAGTCCCAAGCCGAATCTATGGACATCGATACTTCGACGCCGGTCACGAACGGAAAACCGAACGGTGTTGACCACACACAGGACCCAGGTTCCCCGATGGACTCAGCGGCATAGCTATTTTCTACCACACATTATCTAGATACCAGCATATCTCTCTCGCAATGCCATGTATGTACTGTACCATAGTTTGAACGAGCCTTTGCTCCGGATAAAGCACCTTTTGGGTTTTTTATTTTTTTATTTTTTGCACTTGGCCAATGGGAGTTCGTTGATTGGCGCTCAAATCACGTCAGCCATGGTCTCGCCTTGCTCCCGATCGCGTCAGTCGGGTCTCGGAGGACAGGACGGGAAGAAGATCAAACTCGTGTCCCCCGTATTCCCAGCCTCCGCCACTGCCACGAACGACCTATGCTGCGGCGAAATGCGGTGTCCAGCCAGAGCCTCCGACGTGTTTTTCGATTCCGTGGATGTCTGCTGGCGCGCATGGATCAGCCAACCAGACCCCAGCGACCAGGGCGACGAGAAGCGCACACACACACAATCCCAGCGTCGGTCGACGACAAGGCGCTAGCGACGACATTCGACCGGCCCAAGTCCAAATTCGGCTCCATCGCAGGTTCCTTGTCGCCGACCGGGTTGTTCGGACACAAATCCCTGACCCGACCCGAGGCGCTCATCGAGCTCACGGATGCGACGCTCATCCGGGCGCAGATACTCACGGACCGGATAGTCGACGCGCACAGGTCCCGCGCGGAGTTGATGCTAGTCGTCAAGAATCTGGACCGCCTGAGCGACCTGCTGTGTGGTGTGATCGACTTGGCGGAGCTGGTGCAGAATGCGCACCCGGAACAGGTGTGGGTGGAGGCGGCCAACTTCGCGCATGAGAAGTTATGTAATTTTATGAATGTGTTGAACACAAATACTGGGTTGTACGAGGTGTGTATATGTTTCGTCCGTCGCATGCGTGGGCTATAACAGCTCGTTCTTCTAGGTTTTGAAAACAGTGCTCAACGACTCAGAGATTAGGAAGACGTTATCGAGGGAGGCACTAGCCACTGCACTCATTTTTTCACGCGACTTTGAGAACTCTGCCATCCATCTGCCGCCGGACAAACGTAACAAATTTGTGGACCTCTCTTCCGATATTCTGGTTCTGGGGCGGCAGTTTCTGCAGGGCACATCCACCCCTGGCCCTCCGGCATCGATTAAACCAGCCGAGTTGGCGGGGCTCAAGGACCAGGGCATGGGAGTGCGGCTGCAACTGCAGGCGCGCTTCACTCAGCGCGATTTACTCGTCTACCCTGGCTCTCTGCAGGCGCAGATGATTATGCGGTCTGCGCCCGCCGAAGAAGCTCGAAGACGCGTCTATATCGCGTCGAATTCGAGTCCAGTTGAACACATCCAGGTTCTGGAAGAACTGTTGAGGAAAAGGGCGGAACTGGCGCAGTTGGTCGGGAAACCGAGTTTTGCCGCTATGACGCTGGAGGACAAGATGGCGAAATCACCAGGTGCGTTCAACTCAAAGTTGCTCTACGTCTACTCATCTGCTACGCAGCCAATGTCGGACACTTCATTGACGCTCTCCTCGACCACACTCGACCAGCAGCCCAAAGCGCCTTGCATGCATTGAGCCAGCGGAAACAAACCCACCTGCGCATCCCATCTCTCCCGGTGATCCAAGCCTGGGACCGCGACTTCTACTGCCCTCCCGAACCACCAACCCCGCCGATAGCACTTCCCCCTTTGACGCTGGGGACGGTGTTCATGGGTCTATCGCGGTTGTTCCGGCATCTATACGGCGTTTCTTTGCGACCGGTGTCAGTCCAAGCTGGAGAGACATATCATGCCGATGTCACGAAGCTCGAAGTGGTGGATGAGATAAAAGGCGTTATCGGGTGGATCTACGCCGATCTGTATGCTCGGCGTGGAAAAGCAAGTGGTGCGGCGCACTACACCGTGCGATGCTCGAGGAGAACGGACGACGACGACGAAGCTGGAGATCTCATCGGAGCTGAGCTCGAACCACACATCGCAATCTCCAAGAATTTTGAAGCCGTCAAGCGGCACGTGCTTCCCGGCCAGGACGGGACGTACCAGCTGCCTCTGGTCGTGCTGGTTTGCGAGTTCTGGAGAGGGTCGGTGTTGCAGTGGCACGAAGTGTCGACGCTGTTCCACGAAATGGGCCACGCCATGCACTCAATGATCGGGCGAACCGAGTACCAGAACGTCTCCGGCACCCGCTGTGCTACAGACTTTGTCGAGCTGCCATCGATTCTGATGGAACACTTCCTCAGCTCGCCTTCCGTTCTTTCTCTGTTCGACGCCGAGGATTCTACTACTCTGGCGCGGCAGAGCGCCAACCAGCACGTCGATCCTTGCCATTCCATCGACACGTACTCGCAGATCCTGTTGGCAGCGCTTGACCAGGGTTACCACTCCCCGTCAGTCCTCGAAAGCGGTTTCGACTCGACCGCTGAGCTCGCGAGGCTGCACAATACGCGTGGACTGATTCCCCATGTTCCTGGAACTTCGTCTCAAGCACACTTCGGACACCTGGTGGGCTATGCCGCCACGTACTATTCGTACCTCTTCGACCGTGCGATCGCATCGCGGGTGTGGAGGGATGTCTTCTCGGAGGATCCGCTCGATCGCGAGAAAGGAGAACAGTACAAGCAAGAGGTGCTCAGGTACGGCGGAGGAAAAGACCCGTGGAAGATGGTCAGCACGCTACTCTCAGCGCCGCAGCTCGAAGAAGGTGACGCCCAGGCCATGCGGGAGGTCGGTAGGTGGCGCATTGAGGATGATGTCGGCGAGGGTGGGCTGCATTGAATCTGAAGGGATGTATTATTCAGTATCTACCGAGTAATACTCGAGAGTGCAGTATTTCCAAGACATGGCATGTGCATATATAACAAATAGGCATAGAGATAGCGATGATACATTGAGCTTGAGTTTGTGCAGTGAGTCGAGTGGTCGTACAGATGATATGCTATGCGGATGAGGGTCCCAAACGAGAAAAGAAATAAAGTCCTGCAGTATGATTGAGTGAAAGAGTGGGCATCACAAACCAGAAAACGCACAATAAGTGATCAATAAGTAGGCTGGTACTGGAATATCCTCAGGCTGAGCTGGTTCGGGTCCACAGCAGTGAGTTGCACGGGAGGGGTAGTCATATCCTTGCCGTAAGGCTGCACATAGCCAGGATATGTTCCGTAGGACATGTCAGGATACGTAGCCATCATTTGAGCGACACTCTGGGGGGTGATAAATGAATCTTGCACAGACCCTTCCAGTCCAGGAAGTGGGGCCGGAAATCCAGCCAGCAAGTCCTGCGGCACTTCATATGAAATCGTTCCCTGCGGGTCCAAGCCCACAAAGGTCGAATTAGAATTCATGTCAGCGCTGAGAAGCTCTGCAGGATTTTGTGGCACTGTGATTGACCAGTCAAACAAGGCCTGGAGATCAGCCGGAACGTCCACAGCAAGCGTGTCTTCATGGCCGAAAGTTGGAGAGGGGAAGAACATGGCTGAGGTACAATTAGACCATCATGTCACAAAAGCCAACAAACCGAAACTCACGCTGTGCTGGAGCGTCGACAGGAGTAACAGGCCCATCGTCATCTTCGTCAGACATGTTGAGGGCTAGAGGGTCAAAGAATTGAATATCCAACAGCTGGCCAGGCTCGAAGATGTCCGTCTCCCCATTACGGTCGGTGCTGAACCAATCAGCCAGCACATCGGGGGTGCCAGCAAGCGTGACGGTGATGGGAATGACAGGTTCCACGCCCGATTCCTCCTGCACGCGTGAGCTATCGTCAATCTCAGCCTGGGTCCGGGGCCGTTTGAAAGTAGTATGTTGCGAATCGACACTGGACAGTCGCCGCTTGCGGGGATTGGACACCGCATCTGGCACCTGAACGGAGTACGCCGGCGAAGGGAGGGGGATGTGGTCCCCAGTCCTGTAGCAAAGAAAGATGAGTGGACATCCTCCTCGGTGACTAGAAAGACTCACCGGAAGCGTTTCCTGGAAAGCATCACGTACTCGTCCGCGTCAGATCGGGACCGTTTATGACCGGCATCGACAGTCCTTCCTTCGCAGTGGGCCGCAGCCGCGTCTTCCAATGCCTTCCTCTCCATCTTTTTGAGTCTGGTCTTTTCGAGCTTCTCTACCGACATATCCCGCACCACGGCAGCCATCTTGTTTGAGAGATCGCCAGGGATAAACTTGCCGGCGTACATCTCACGCGTCGTCTGCTCTATCTTCGCAAATTCGGCAAAGATCTCCTGCGGAAGCGGTTGACCCCTGATGGGATGGATGAAAAATCGGTGCGCGGCATCAATCATGTCGGCGCGTCGGCGGTCGAACTCTTCACGCAGAAGTTTGGTCCAGCCCATACGACGACGGGCGTCGACGAACCATTCGGTGATACGTTCTTGAGTTGACCCAGAGATTTCGGCCAGGCGTTCTTTGGTTTCTTTCTTGGGGTATGGGTTGTGTATGTGTTTTAGCAGCCAACGGTAGGCAGCTTCGATATATGGCGGGGTACGCGGATCGAAGCGTGTGTGGGGGGGCAGAGGTGCATCGGGGGATGGAGCGCGTGGAGGTGACGGGGAACTCGCTGACACGACGTCTGCCACAGACACTTCTTCCAGGTTCAGCGCATCTTGGAAGAGTCGCTCGATTTGCTCATCAGCATTCTCGTGCAAGGATAGCAATGACTGAGTGAACGTCGCAATCTTCGTTCCGACATTATGAGCAATCTGGGAAGTTTCGATGTCCAGAGTGCGTGCAACACGAGCAGCTTCGACCTCAGCCTGGAGTGACAAAAGGTCTCGCAGGAAGCCAGATGAAGGGTCGAGGGTGTGGACATCCGTTTGATTGAGAAAGTCGCGCTCGATGCGCAATAGACGGTCTCGAAGAGTGCGCAAGGACATGACTGTCGCAATGGTCTTTGAGAGAAAGCATGCGAGCAAATATCTGGTAAGAGATGGCTAGTTCAAACTCCGCATTGTGTGAGGGCTGCATCAATCAAAGTTGATGACACCGCTTGCATTGTTCCCTCTCTTTCAAGAATACAAGCGTCAACAATGCTATAACAGTGCTGCTCTTCCTCTCATCCTCCCACCATGACTGCTGTGGCGACTTCTCGAGAAACATCTATTCTCCGCCAGATATTTGATTCGGCGAACTCTATTCAACTACCAAAGTATCCTGCTGCTGCAGAAGTTCCGGATGTGATCTACGAGCTTTCCCTACCGCCATCTATGGCAGAGAAACTGCAGGATATGGGACTCAACTCTTCTCAGGCGGCAAACCTGGACTCCCGTTTCCAGTCAAAATCAAATATACTCCGCAGGTCATCCGAGCAAGCGTTGCGAAATGCTTGTCGTGATATTGCTGCGGTTCCTCGGGAAACTTCCATGCTTCCCTTATCTCAATTGCTCGCTGCACTAGTCAGGGCGCACACGGACAGCTATATGAAAGCTATCGCGCGTCTTCGACAAGGAACGATATCCGTCGCGCTCCATGCATTGAGTAGAAGAGGGACTACCCCCCAAACACCTTCCTCTGTAGAAAGTGGGAAGAGGCTAGAAACATCTTCACCTCAAGACCGCAAAGTGTCACCTAAATTCAACCACGTTCGTGACACCATCTAACTCATCGCACCGGACCCTGACAGCATGCACAGGAATTCACGCCGTACCTTCAACAACACTTTGCCCACAACGCCTTTCCCTCGCTTGCCGAGCGCGCGGAAATGGCGCGCAAGTCCGGGATGGAGGCGCGGCAGATCGAAGTCTGGGTATGTGTTGTTTCGTTTATCACACAACCGCCTGACTCCAACTCTTTCGCAGTTCCAGAACCACCGCCGACGGGCGAGACAAGAAGGACAGACGCTGCGGCGGGTGCAACCGTCGTCTCGGGGGCTGTCGCCGACTGAGCTGGACGAGAAGATGGATCCGGCGTTCGTCATCCCGGAGGAGCGGAGGCTCGAGATCGACGACGAAGCGGAGGAGGTCGGCACATCGAGCGATGAGGAGACCGACTCGTCCGTGTCGAGTCCGGCCGCTTCCCACGCAGGAATGGAACACAATCCGCTCGAGATGGTAGTGTCGACGCCCGGCCTTGCCCCGCGCCGGACGTACGAAACGATGGACGAGATCGCCAGCTCAGGCCGCACGTGGTCGTTCGCCCCGCCGACCTGGGCAGTGCGCGCCCCTGCACCGGAACGCAGCGCGCCGCCCAGCATCGCCACGCTGACAGCTGCGTTCGCGCGCCTGACGGTGTGGGACGTCGGCCGCAGTGCGGGCGCGCGGTTCTGCCTCCCCACGGCGTATACTCCCCCACGCGCGCCGCTGCCGGCGTTCGTCCGCGCGGCGAACAAGTTTGCGCCGCACCCCGTGCAGTCGTGCGTCGCGCGGACGACAGAGTGCTGCGTTGCGGCTGCTGGACCCCGGGCGACGGGGACGAGGACGGGGACTACGAAGAGTAAGAAGAGCAAGAAGGTGTCGGGGCCGCCGCGGCGGACGCCGACGCGCAGCAGCCGTAGCGCGAGTCCCGCGTGGTCGGAGCGATCCGAGTCGGGGTACTCCTCGTCGGCGTCGCGCACGCCGTCGCTCAGCGTGTCGCGCCGGTCGTCGTCGTCCGATTTGTCGTCGATGCCTGGGACACCCCCGAGCGGGCCGCTGCCACTGCCGTTTTCGTTCAGGTTTGGGGGCACGGAGAAGGCGTGATGGGCCGGGGCTTCCGGCCGGCGTGCCTTGCTTCCCTCCCTCTGCCGAACATCCGGCGTGCCCGTTCTCTGGGGCTGCGCGTCCGGCCTGGTCGCGAACCGAGCGGCGCGTGCTCGTTATCGAGTGGCGCTGCGCGACCCGATGCCCATGCGGCGCTCAGTCTCACTTATGCTTATACCCTGTACATACCACACCAACACCAACACATCATCATGTATTATGCCCTATGTATCCCGTACCTCTGTAGCTTAGCAACCCATGCCCATTTGGTGTCCCAGCCCAGATTGCGTCAGGCGCGCCGCGACGCCTGGTGGCCGGATCAGGCAGGTGGCGCTGCGGACGCACGTCGCGCGTTCTGCAAACGCTGTGCGAGTGGACCGGCGTCAATCGATCTACGCGACGGCCGCTTCGCGTAGAGCGCGCCTGCCCGGGTCGTGTGGCGGGGGCGTGCAGGCGCGTCGATGGAGTACATCTATCTACATATCTGCCACAGGTTGTTGTTGTATGCCGACCCGGTCAGGGGTTGTTGCACCAGTATGTAAGAGCTGTTCGCGTCGCCGATGGCAAGCGGGTGGGCGAGTCGCATGCGCTTCTGTCCTGCACGTATCCGCGAATCAATTGAGCACAGCGTCGGTGTGCTGGCTGCTGCACCGCCGACACCGCCGTGTCCAGGACGTGCAATGCATCCATAGAACAGCACCGATCATCGACAAGACAGTCTTCCGGCGAATCGCCGCTGCAGTGCCGTCGGGATCACCGAAGACCTGTTGATGGCTCGGTGGTGCACCGATCTGAGCGTCCCAACGTCCCGGTCGGTTTCATCCGGCCCTTGAGCAGCGGTGCACCGCTCGAAGAACGCGGTCACTACACCCACAGTCGCCCCGTCCCGTCCAAACATCGCTGCCAAGGCCGATCACGGCGCGGGACCAGGCCGCGTCAGCCAGATCCTACGATTCTCCCGACAACCTCCAGCCTCCAGCAGCCGGAAACATCTGAGCACAACCGACCCACTGGACGACGACGGCAGCCCAACGGCCCGTGCGGATGTCGGCTGATGTGCGGAGGACCCACACCACAGGCGGTGGGTTTCTCGGTCTCTTGGTGGGCGGCACACGCGAGGGAGGCAAGCGGCTTCGGGTATATCAGCTCGAGCGCGTCGACGCGTGGCTGGGTTTCGGTTTGATTCCGTGGAACAGGGTTTTGTAGCGCCGGTAGTATAGGTCTCGGGTGTAGCGATGGTTTGGAATGGGCTGCTGCAAGTCGAATTCCGGGCTGGAGGCGGCGAGACGGATATCGGAGAAGGAACGGACCGGGACCCGGGAGCCACAGCGCCCATAGACAAATAATCCGATATCTGGGCGAACGGGGCGATCATCCGGCGCGCAGCAAAGACGACGTTGTCTGCTGTTGTCTCGTCTGACGCATGTGCGATCAGCTTTTCAAGCGCGTCTTGCAGAGTTTGGCAGCCCGTGAACCGTATTTGCGACCGATCAAAGAGGGAATGGGTCGGGTCACATCCCGTTGCAAGTCAAATCGGCATTGGGATAGTGAGCACAGAAACATAATCCAGATACGTGCGGTGCATATCCCCCTGCCGTGCTTTCTCCGCTCCGGTTTCGGCGCGGACATCACTGTCGGTGCTGCTGCTGTTGCTCGTCTGTGCGAGGGCCCGCTCCCGTTCGCGTTCCCGGCTCCGAGACTCGATCATGTTCAGACGGATCAGAGCGGACACGCCGGGCAGCATGCTCTGCACGCCGGGAGTTTGCGCCGAGCAGGGCGTTCGTCGTCCACGTCAGGTTCTTCTCCGATCGGACACCGCAGCAGCGACCTCCCGTGTGGAGGGAGAACGCGCAGACCCGGAGCACCAAGAAAGAGCGGGCGGCGGACGGCAGTCCTCGGGCTCGCGGAGGTTGCTGTTCGAGGTAGGTAACATGAAATCGGCAAGACGCTGGCGGAGATGGACTCCCGGGTCTGGCACTGCGCCGAATACACGCACGCTACGCGGCCTGCTCGAGACCATCGCCACGTCGTCGGAGAGAGACCGGACGGTCCACGCGAGTGTCCGATCGCTTGGATGCACTGCTTTCGATGTCAGGGTGTCCGTCACAGCAGATACCCAAGTCGGCGGCGTTCTCGGAGCGACGCGCTTTCGAAGGACGGCCGTGCAAACAGCCACCGCCCCCCTAAGAGAAGCCCGCAGCACGCTCCCCAAGCTCTGATCCGCGTGAGCGGCGTCTGGTACGGGCTGTCGGAGAAGAACAGCGGCAGTGCGGTGGACGTTCCGGAGCAGGAGAGCGGATGTTAAGTATGGCCATGATGATGATGTTGACGCGCACAAGAAATGCCATCAGACCCGCAAGGAACAAAAGCAGTGCGGGCGAACGCCGACGACGGCATGCATATCGGAGCGGCGCAAACCGTAGTAGAGTAGAGATACATGTACACACGGGACCGAGGCGAACTTCGATGTACGGTGCTGGTACTCCTGCGCCCACTGTTTGCTTGACCAGAGTCGCGACGAATGCGCTCAACAACCTCAGCGCGAGACTCGCGAACCAACGCGCGTTGCAGACAAGGGAGGAGACTGGGGGCGGGAGCGGTAGGAGGGAGTGCGTCGGTCGCCGGCGTGCCATTATTCAGGTTCACGAGCTGCTGCGAGATCTGGCTGAGGAGCACGGCGGTCTGGCTCCCCGAGTCGGCGTCCAGCGTCTTGCAGCTGTCGATTTGAATGAATGTCGTGACGACGCCAGAGAAGAGACCAGCCTGCGATAAGCCACATTCAGGAAGGGACTGGAATTCACGACGGAAGGCCCGGGGGGTTCTGATGCACAAAGAGTCACATCAGCGGTGCATCCATATCTGAGGCCTTGATCGTAGCTCTTAGCCTCGGAGACGCAGACGCTCCAGAGCGTGTTCCCGCTGGAAGCTGCTCCATCGGTCTCTCGTCTGTTCGTCAGCTTGTGGCATGGCCACAAAAGCGGGAGAGAGTTGAACTGTGTCCGCGCAGCGTTTCTCCGTATATTACACACTGCCACAGTTCACAGCCACCAAGTACCCAGCGCTTCAGTGAGTGGCGGATCGGGACACCAGCTCGGACGGAGTCAAGATTGGCCGGCAGCACATAGTCTCAGGGCACGAGAGTCCATCCATCGGGGCTTGCAGGAGATTGACGGATGGCAGCATTAGACGGCGTCAGTCCCAGGAGGCAGTGGCGCGCATGTGTCCATCAGATTCAGTCGCCGTACAGTCTCGGTGGGTACTTAGATGGAGGGTCGTTCTTGACCATGCCACTTCTCAGAGAGATGGTGGATGCGGTTCCCATCGAACCGAACCCGGTTGTCCGGCTAGATGTTCAAGTCGGAAGGCGGGTCAGAGCACGTGAGGCTCTTTCTGAAACTGGAATCCTGTACCGCGGCACCAATATTCTGCATACCGTTCTCTGACGAAGCACTGGGAATCGACTCGGAATGATTTGTGACTGGCTTGCTCGCACCATACGAAGAAACGACTTGTCTCTGGAGGTCCGCGAGCTGCACTTGGTTTTTCTTCGGCGCTGTCACTGCAAGACGGCTGGACGACGAGATTCTGCGGGTAGCCCGATGCTCCGAGGCAATCGTCGCGATGGAGCAGTCCATTAGTCAGAGATTCGGAGCACTGCAAACCCGCGTCGTTGACACTCGGAGTGCCTCTGAAGCGCGCCGCAAGTCTGCGTCTGCAGACCCTGGCGCCGATGGTCACGGTGATATCCGGGCGGCTGTGTGCTGGCTATCTTCGAGCTGTCTGCGCAATGCGAAGCTGGCAAAACGCGTACATAGGGTCGATTCATTCATCGCAGCGGTGACACGGACTACAGCCAAAAATCGAAAAGTTACTTATCTTGAGTACGGTCTGGACGGCCTTTTTATATTATGTCCATGACGAGTACAGTAGATGGCCCCCAACGTCTGTAACAGCGACAGCAACAGCAGCTGACATGTGGTCGTGTGCGCGTACGGTCCTCGTCGCCGACCGGCACTTCAATCCGAGGTCACTGCTCGCTTGTTTAGTTTAGACCCTACTGGTTCGAGTACAGGGCACTTCATACTACCTGCATTCCGTTCTTATATTCATCTATTTGAATGTGCCAGCAGAAATCATACACACACACGTATATACATACAATACAGCAGAGAGCGAGAGATATAACATATTATCATTAACCATAATCATAGACACCCACACATCACACATTACCACGCCCCCGCCGTCTCGTCAAACAGACACTCCAGCGGGTCATCATCCCCCGCCACAACCACACCCGCAAGATCGAGCACCGGGAACGCATCCACAGGCGTGCTCGGCCCGCCCGACTCCGCCTCCGACTCCATCTCCGAGAACGACTCCACGGGAGACGCAGGACGCGGGAACGACGCTGGCGCCTGCCGCGCAAAGGCCGCCGACACCCGCAGCCTCGGCCGGCCCGCCACAGGTGTTGGTAGTGGTAGTGACGACGGGCAAGACAGTTCCCACGGCGTGCGCAGCGCGCGCGACACCGGCTGCACGCAGTACGTCGCGTTGCGGAACCGCGTCACCCCGTCCGCATACCCGTCCCCTGGCGTCTTCATCACATCGCGCGTCGTCAGTCCCGCAAACCGGCCCGCCAGCTCCCCCATGCTCAGCGGCGCACGCCGCGGCGGCGATGGTGCTGATGGTGCCGCAGCGCGCGGCCACGGACACTCAAAGGCAAACGCCGTCGTGGCCCTGATCGCCGCAGGTGATGCGAGTGTGTTGCGCGCTGGAAACGCGTGCGGCGGGGGGTCCACGGCATCCAGCACATTCCGTGTCCGCTTCTCCGCCATGACTTCTTCCCGCACAGGCTCCGGGTCCTCGATATCCCCGTCCGAGCGCCCGTCCCACCCTTCGCTCGAGTCGTCCACCACCTGCCGCATCGTCGGCCGCGCCGCCGCCACGCTCCCCATTCCCTGCAGACACAACTCCAGCGGCGCGCGCTCCCACGTCTCCACCCGCCGCAGAACCGGCGCCGCCTCTCCCCGCGCCTTCGCGTCCCGCCGCAGCCGCGCGCGGTGGTTCTGGAACCACACGTTGATCTGCGACGCCGTCATCCCGCTCTTCTCCGCCATCGCACTCCGGTCCGCACCGCACGGGTACGCGTTGTATGTGAAGTACCGCTGCAGGAATGGCGCATATTCCTGTGATGTCCGCGTGAGTGTCTGTTACATCCGTCCCAGAGACTCCCGTCGACTTACCGTTTTGAACGCCGCGCGTTCGCTCGTGGGTGTCCCTGATCGCGACCGCACGCCCGAGCTGCTCGAGCTTGAGCGTGAGCTTGTGGATCGTGAGGATGATGCGGAACTGTGTCGGGGAGAAGATGATGGCGGAGGAACCCATTGCGAGGAAGAAGCAATGGGCAAAGATCTTGCAGCAGCAGCAAGAGCCCGCTGTTCTAGTCCTTCAAGACCCGTTTGATAACGACGGGTGAAAGCCTTCACAAGTTTTTCCGTAGTCTGCTGTATGGGGGTCAGACTAGTGTCCACTGGCAGTCGCGCGAGGTTATGGAAAGTCCGCTGCAAAGTCGCTTCTGTATTGGATCGGAGCTTTTCAGCCTGGCAGTCATATATTCTGCATAGATCCTCCAAAACTCTGGTGTCCAGGCATAGAGGCTGTAGTTTTGCCCGGATTGGTGGAGCCGGCGCCAAATTGATATCGGGCTGCTGTTTCGAGGTGCTAACAGTGGCAGGGGGATTCAATGGCGTATATCTGTCTTTGATGGATCGAGCTAATCTGGATATGTTTTGGAGAGACGCGCTTTGAGGATTAGGCATCACGCGAACTAGGAAGAGTAAGTGAAAGAGTACGGTGAGGGTCCAGGCAACGACTTGTAGTTTGTTTGTCCATTGATTGTATTGGGGAATGTTTGGTGAACAATGCGGGGCTCAAAACACGTGATCAAATAAAGAACCGAAAGCGTGACTGTAGGTGTCTTCGATCTACTCTACCACTCTCACAATGCTTGGTAACCTGCACGAAAGGCTACTCCGTATTGAATCTGAATGCCTTCAAATTATATCCTCCGACGATACTGACGCCGTTACTTCGTTCGAGAAAACATGGGAAACGCTTCAGGAAGACATAGAAGCCGCTGCTGTTTCTGGGACTCTCGATGAAGACACAGCAGCATTGGCCTTCAGCATCGCTGAACAGGTCACCATCTCAGCAGGTCTATTCCTTGACCTTCACCACACCGCCGACAAAGATCTTCAAGAGCTCGAGAACCTCATCGCGACATTAACCATCGAGCCTTCTCTTGACCTTCGAATTCCACCATCAGCATCCTCCGGACCTACGCCTTCCCATCGCCCAACAAACCAACACTCACCAGCGTATATCTCTGCCGCCTACGGCTGGCTTTGCCAACATCTCTATGACCCGTACCCGACTACCGAGACGAAGCAAGAGATGGCGGACAACGCCGGGTCAACACTCGAGCGCATCTCCGCCTGGTTCGTCGATGCGCGTCAACGCATCGGCTGGACGCGGGCGCTCAAGGAGGAATTTGGGCGGGACCGCGCGAAGATGGTCTGTGCCGCGCGCGGGCACTTCGTTCCGGAGCCCACTGCCTCACTCAGCTACCGCACCCACCCCAACTACCACCGTCTGCGCGGCATTTTCATCGCAATCGAGGCGAAAGCGGAGGATTTGTATGGGAATCGCTTCCGCCCGAGCGGCCTGTCGAACCTGGATTCCGAGTCTGGACACCAGGCCAAAGAGCTTGCGCGTCTTCAACGCGAGCAGAAGCGCCACGGACAACGAGGGCTCGGCGTGGGGGCCTCACCACGCAAGCGCTCGAGCGATGATGATGAAGAGTCGGAGGATGAATTGGAACATGGGGTCAAACGGCGGCGGTGGGTTTCGTTTTGTTGTCTTTCTTTGGGACTACAGCTCAACTCCAGCAGACTGGATACGCCGTCGTCGCCATCACCTGCACCCAACTCGCTCAAACGCCGTCGCGTGTCCGACTCGGATTTGTTCAACAACAAGCGTCAACGCACTCGCGAATCCTCCGCCCCGCTACCCCCCGCTTCTTGGGAGAGCGACCCGACCGCCCTAATCAACAATGGATCCGATCTGGATCTATTCCAGCCCAACCGCTTTGACGCCCCACTCGATATCACTGCGTTCGACCTCGACCAGATCACTGCGTACTTCAGCGCCGAGTCGCCGTTGACAGACTCCACGCTGTCGTCCCTTCCTGGTATGTCCTTTGTCCCATTCAGGACCACTTGTTGATTGTTCCATTATCAGGTTCCGAGTCGTCTACGCCGCTGTCGTTCAACGGCCAGCCGCTGCCTATTGCAGCGCACGATATCGACGAAACCCAGGCGTATTTCAGTGCGTGTCCGCGTTTCATTCTGAGATTCTCTGCTGACCTCGGCGCAGACAACTTCTCGTACTTGCCTGAGTCTACGGACGCGCTTGACTTCCTCGGCCTCGACAGCAGCAGCCTCAGCAACAACCTCATCGATATCAGTGGTATCGACCCGACCTTCCTGAACATCGGCTACGGGCAGCAAACGCCAACGTACAACGTCTCCAACGTCGACTTCCTGTCAATGCCTATTCCTGGACTTGACCTCCCGCAGCCCGACGTGACCGTGGGCATGCCTATGTCGATGAACATGAACATGAATGTGCCAGTATCGCCCATCCACCAGATGTTCTTCGGCGGGATGCCTGGTGCGGGTGCTGTCCCGTATGCGGGCATCCAGTGCTAGTGTGTTTCCCCTCATGCCTCGTTCATCTCTCTCTCTGTCCATCATCTGATTCGTTCGCATCTGCATCTGCATCCCACTGTATCCATACCCATCACCCAGCAAACCAAACCAAGAATTGTATTCTTACCTTATTGCTAACGTTATCGCTTTCCAGCTGTCATCCTTGCTACTCACATCATGCTACCCACACACCACTATGCCTACTATGCTCTCCCTCTGGAACGCGTACCTATGCCTGTTCTGCCCTCTGGTTGTATACAATACAAATTGCTTTGCACCAATATTAGCTGCATGTCGAGGACTGCACCGCCGGTCTAAGTCCTTTCGGATTGCCGTCGACGAGCGGCATGGATGGCTTCGCCAAGCGATATCTCGTATACAGGAGATATAGATTATACACACTTGCTTGAGATTGGGTTGTTGCCCGAGTCCTCATTCTGTACTCTGACATAATTCAGAATCGTAAGTGTTGTATATTCTCGTGGCCACTTAAACAAATATTTGTACCTGGGTGAGGTCCTTGAGGGTTCCGATCGTCAACTCACTTGCGATCTGACAGTCTCAGGCGATGCGGCCGTGGTTTCAGCCAGAAACAAGTTCAAAAAGTTCCATCTGTAACAACAAACACATTTCAAGTCCATGTCAGCATTACGCTTCTCTCAGTTAGTCGTTCATTCCTTCGCTCGTCCAATCCGCTCTTTACATGAACTTGGAGAGCTGATCTCATCAGCCGGCGCCCCGCTTTCAATAACAGGGAAAATAACTCACAAGGGACATAGCGCCTCCGCCTCCGCCTCCACCGCTCATCTGGGACTTGAAAATCATCATCGCAGCCTTCTGGATGACCTCAGTCTTGAAGTCCTGGTTGTTGCTTCCGCTGAGCAGCTGGCTGGCCTCCGTCATCGCGAACGACATCAGGTCACCTCCGCCCTGGCCTCCGCCACCGCCGCTCATAAACTTCTGGATGACCTATAGATGGAGTCAGATCCGGGTTTACTGTAAAGATAGACGCGAGGGGAAGCGCGCACCTGGGTGGCGACAGCGCCGCCGACGGCGTTAGACCCCATCGCCTCGAGGTTGTCGGTGTTTCCCTGTCGGTAGATCTGGTGGTGCGCCTGCTTGGCCTCCTCTGCCTCGTCGTCAGAGACAGGCCGGTGCTCATCCTGTGCAAAATGGATCCGTCGTCAGGGCCGCAGGTCGGGCGGAAGGGAGATTAAGCGCGCCACGCACGGTGTTGCGGGCGACGTGCTGTGCGGCCTGACGGTAAATTTGCTCATCATCGGGGTTTTGCTCAGCCGCCTGACGGACGCTGTCCTCATGACCCTCTGTAAATGCAAGTTATCAACGCGTGCGATCTCGAAAAGTTCATAGACGATGGTTGCGTACCAGGGGCTATAGATAGTGTTCATTAAAGATCCAGCAAGCGTTGTAAAAAGATCGGTGCGCACCCAAGAACTTCTGGGCAAATCCGAGCATTGTGTTCATATCCATGCTGGCAGAGGTGTAAGGTAGCTAGGTGGTGGTGGTTTGAGTTGGAGTGAGAATCTGTGAGATGCAGATGGTCACTCCCGATCCTTTGATAATTTGATCTGACGTCACAGACAGCTCTCATGGAAGCGCCAAGCATGCAAGAAAATACAACCTTTGAGCTCGTTACAGATACAGAATAATGAAATGTAGAATATTGCATTTGGGTATCTTCATCTTCTCAGCTTAGACTTCATCCACCCCCTTGCTCTTAACCGGGGCCGTTTCTGTTGCCTGCCCGCCGGAAATGTAGTTCGTCGCCATATCTTTGGCCTTTACGAGGTGGGGTTGAGCAGCCCCTGCCGCAGCCGATGCATACTCCACTGTCGTGTTATACGCGGCAGTCGCACCGACCTGCAATCCGTGCAGCACGTCGGTTGCAGTGTGCTCGCCATTGGGTCCGGAGCCAGGGGGAATGTATGACTGGAACGACGTCAGAACGACTCGCCCAGGAACAGCTGCGGATGAATGGACGTACCTGGGCAGATGCCACGGCATTGGACGCCAGGTTCTTCGCCTGGTCGAGGTACGTAGTACCAGCGGTGGAAGCTGCCGTTGTTACTTCTGACACACTTTGCTTGCCCTGATCAACAGCTTGACCAGTCACGATCTGAGCGTCGTTCATGAGGCGATCGGTGGCAGTTTGGCCAGTGAGCGCAGGGCCCTTCGACTGACGAAGTCAAAGGTGAGTTGAGATTGAAATGATGCGCTGGCTGATGCACCTGAGCTGCAATTGCGGCTTCCTCTGCGGCATCCTTCGCTTGCTCGGCGTTAGCTTCTGCAACAAGATCAGTGCACTGCGCATCAAGCGAAGTAAAATGTGAACGCACCGACTTCGCGAGCGATGGTGCCAGTCTTGGCTTCGACCTGAGCCTGCGCCGCTGTGGTCTGAAATCTAATGGAACGCATGAGCAGGTGAGAGTCCAGTCGACTTGGTCACGCACTCTGAAGGGTGGGCAGTCTCGGTGACGTTGAAAATTTGGCCGTTGGTAGACATGATGTGTGAGTTTGAATGAGTGCTAATGAAGCTAAGGCCGAGGGGGTTGGCCTATATACTCGCAGGATAGCTGAGCTACGTCATGAGTGGTGTCATCAGTCTGCGATCCCGTGACCGCGTCTTGACGCGTTCAGGACAGGCACTCCAAAACAGCTCCACAGCCAAAGTGTCCATTGCAAGTCTTCTGATATGGCAATTGCGCAAATAGCTACAGGGTCGACACGACAACATGCGGGAAACTGTTACAGCAGAGCGAAAGTATAACATTCAGGCGGCGGCGTCTTCTTCCCAGGAACGCATCTTGAGGAAACGCGCCAGAACTTCTTCAGAACCGCGTTTGAAGACGTCGACTCCACGAGCGGGATCCCACACACGACTGCCTTTGCGAGCGGGAGGAACGAGCGGCGCATCGGGCGGCGAGATCGGCCCGATTGAGGATGGCGGGGACGTAAGCGAAGTGTCGTTGGTGCTGAACGGCACCGACGCTGGCGAAGTCGCTTGAACTGCGGTTCGCGGAGGCGGGGTGGCCTCAGTGTTGTTTCTAGTCGTGGGAGAGTCGAAGTTGAACTCGCGAGGCGATGTTGGTCCGGCGGATATCGGCGAACTAACCATCGCCGCCTTCGAGTCAACAGGGGTGGTAACAGCCGTTGAGGTCCATGGCCGGCGTGTTTCTTGGCGAGAGGAACGGCGTTGAGTCGTAACCTTGGCCGTATCCAATGCGACTTGAGTTGCCTGGCTCCGATATTTTGGGGATATAGTTTGAACTCCACGTACGGTATATTCTTTATTCTTGCCCTTGATACTGTAGGTAGCCGAAATGGACGACGCACGTGAACGCATTGGTGTCGAGCTTTGCGCATCGTCCAAAGATTCGTCGTCGTCGCCGCTGGTATCTTCGTCGTCTCCATCCATGCTGCTCGCCTCGACTCGATCCTCCCAACTCTTTCCCTTGCGCCACTCGTCGCTATCAAATGCCGGTGCCAGCGATGTCGATTGCGATGGGCGCACAAGTCTCGATGCGTATTTTTGAATGCTCGGCACAGTATCCCAGGCATTCACGTACGCCAATGTCGCAGGCAGTCCTCCCAATGGGGACAGCGGCTGAGACCTCGGCAACGACGCGACGGAAGACTCAGGTGTACTTGGACTATCCGTACCTGAGCTCATGAACATCGACGGCGACGGGGCATCAGCTGCGGGAAACACGCGCCCCGGCATTTTGCGAGGCTTCTCTTCCCAAGGGAATACGCTCTTGACTTTGGTCCGATCGGGGCTTGTTGGCGAAATGCCCTGCTCACCGCCCGTCACTTCTCGATAATGGCCCTGCTGACGCAAGACCTCGGGAATCTCCGGGGGCGGTGGCGGCTGGAAGAATGCGCCAGAGTCAGGAGGAGGTGAAGCTGCGCGAGGACCTTGCCGATAATGCTGCTGATGAACGACAGGCTGGTCCCATATGTTGGGAAAGTACGTGTCGGATGGGAAAGCAGATGTCGGCGGAGCAGTGGGGGGAGGTTCCAAAGCCGGGTTCCATGCTACCATGGGCGGTGAAGCCGGTCTGGGTTGCGGATATTGGCCGTGATCGAGCTCCTGCGAAGACTGATGCTGGGAATGTTGATGCTCCTGAGAAGAATCTTCATGATTCGGGGTGAGTGACAGAGAAATGGGAGAGAGATGAGGACTAGGCAATGCTTCTTTAGGACCAGAAGCTAAATCATCGACCCGGGGGACTGAATCGGGTTTTCTATTGGCTGCATCGCTCTCATTGGGACGCATGAGGTGAATCCGGCCCTCCAATGGCAAGCGCATATATTGGCCTTCTCCAACAGAAGACGACGCCGCTGTATTGGTGGGCTGACCCTGGATAGCAAGGCGACGAAGATCCACAAGGCTGAACGGAGCGGCGACAGTAGAGGCAGCCTGAGTGTGCCAGGAGCCAGCATCCCCAACCTGTCCATCCCACACCGAAGGATAGTGCTGCACTTCGAAATCGAACTGATCCCCGGTAGTATCGGTGCGATAATGCTTGTCGTAAACGGCGAACCAGCGATCAACAAGCGAATTATAGTCGTATGCTTCCAGTGCCCCAGAGGTTGACCGGGAGGTATCACTGCCGCTACGCTGAGAGCTCTGGAATGGAGTACGAGTTGGGAGGGTTTTCCAAGGCTTGCTGGGCCCAATGAAATGAATGGCAGAGATTTGAGAACCGAAGCGTGCGTAGGCCGGCGCGTAACTGGACAAGCGTGTCAGTGAGAAGATGGATGATAGATACTCAACACTGACGTGTAAGCAGCGGTCGGAGTCGTGTTGTACGTAAAGCTCAGGCGATTCCAGTCATTGCCGCGCCATTCGTTCAATATCCCTTGGTCACCACCATCCCAAGTACCCCGACTCTTCAAAAGCTCGTTCAGCTCGTTGAATTTCTCTTCGCCTGGCGATAAAACAAGAACTCCGGAGTTGAAAATGTCAGGCCATCCAACATCGGGGACTGCGGAAAATTCGTGGGGAAGTGTGAACAAATGAGAGAGTGGTCGGACGGGCAAAACGTCGGCATCGAGAAAGATTATTTTGGAGAATTGTGTGAGGCGGAAAACATGCAGCTTTGTAAGGACAGTGTTGAGGTCGAGCCGGCCTGGAAAATAGTCAATCACATGATGTGCGATGCGCTCCATAGGAGATCATGCGGGGTGCGGGGTAAGCACAGACGCGTCAAACGAGCGGGGAAGGAAGCGCCAGAAATAGGACAGTTGTTTCTCCAATGGGGAGTGCTTTGGGGCACATGAAGTGCGCATATACGCGTTAAGGAAAGGGGTGTGGGGGGAATCAGTGTATCAGCTAGACATACCGAGAAGTTTCAGGCCACTGTCGTCTCTTTGGGCAATTATTTCGACACCGACAACAAGATTGAAGACTTGTCGGAGCTGCTTGATAGTAGATACATCGACGGATTCTGGAGTGACGATGCAGACAGTCTGGAAATCGACCTCCGGTGAAACAGCCGGGGACGGATGCAGGTCCTTGAGCGCGCCTGCGACAGCTAGTGCACCTGGCAGATAATGGTCAGAAGTCACTAGGGTTGCAAACGCATAAGACGGCGTTCCCCCGGACTCTGCCATGGAGGAAGAAGAAAGGATGATTCCCAAATTCTCTGTTGAGTCTTGTTTTTGATTCAGATACTCTCAATTCAAATCTCGGACCGGGATCCCTTGACCGGATGTGTTCTGTTTGCTCGCTACCAGAGCTGTCCCCATGAGAGAACCTCCAGTATCTTCCTCCCCTTTTGGATGCTCGTAAAATTTTCAGTAGTAACAGTTTGTTAACAGAGCTCAATCGTCTCGGCACTCTCGGCACTCGCACGGTTAGATAAGTTTGTAAGTTAGCATCACTCGCAGTGGGGTCTGGCCCCTCTTGCTTCGCTGGTTTCATATGTGCCGTCTCGTTGCTGCGAAGGATGTTCTCACTGCATAAGGAGTACTTGATAACGCCAATAGGAGTGCTGCTCTGGTCAGTACGTATAGTAGCTATCGATACCACTACTGCTGAGTACAAGCATAAATTGCCTTCGATATCGGTGATACCCCGGGTACTTGGAAGGTCGGGGTCGCGTAAGAAGCACAGCCACGTCGATTTTCTCTTTCTTGACGACGTCATGGACTGATGTGGTTCTCGACAACCAGCAGGCTCAGCGGGCTCCCTCCTGCGCTCCGTGCCTCCATTGTTAATCCCCAACTCATCACGCGCCCGCTAAGATCATCTCCTCTGTTGGCTCGGCATGCCTCCTTCGTACCGGATTTCTTCAACACTAGCAGGAAGCCCCTTGCCCGTTATCCTTTCAATGCACGACGCGCAGCCTGGTGGTTCCTGCCTTTTGCCGGTGGCCTCGCCTTCTACTTGAGACCGGATAACACCTCCTCCCCAATACCGACCTTGATCTCCTCACCAGCGGTGATCCCATGTCAACCACAACCGCGCCAGGTTTTCCTTCTCTCGGCGTCCGAATACGAGTTGACGATCAGCGCCCGGCTGAGGGCGTTTATCCGGGATCGACTATGGGAGCCTTTCTTGACCGCCGGACGATTTGTCTATCTGGTCGTGCTCTTCATTCCGGTCATCATCTCTTGTCCAATGCTTCTCATTGGAAGGCCTGAGAAGCGCTTGCGCGGAGATCGGTGGGGCGCTGTTTGGTGGTACAATCTACTAGTAACCCAAATGGAAACAGCCGGCCCGGCATTCATCAAGGTGAGTGGTTCAGTGCCAACAGATCATACATCTGACGCGCCCTAGTTGGCTCAATGGGCGGGGTCCAGAACTGATCTTTTCCCGTCTTTACTGTGTGAAGGGCTTGGTCGATTACATTCGCGCGGGAAATCCCATGGCATAGTTTACACACGGCAGCAGCTTGAGAAGGTTTTCCACCGGCGGTTCAGCGACATTTTCGAGGAGTTCGAGGAGACACCGATTGGCACAGGTGCCATTGCGCAGGTAGATTCCACAGTTGAGCAAGCAAAACAGTCTCCGATTAACACTTGTCAGGTTTACCGAGCTGTCCTGCGCAAGGACCTGATCCCGCCGTCGTTCTTGGGGCCACGGCGACAGCTCACAGGGCCGACTGGCGCGTTGGGACCTGCAATATTACAAGATCCCCCGCCTTCAGCCCCTACTGCCGTAGTCGCTATCAAAGTCCTTCATCCCCACGTGCAGAAGACGATCTCCAGGGATCTCGCGATCATCTCGTTCTTTGCGCATTTCATCACTCTGTTCCCTGGAATGCAGTGGCTGTCTTTGGTCGAAGAAGTCGACGTTTTCGGCCAGATGATGCGCCAACAACTTGATCTGCGGCATGAGGCTGAAAATTTGATCACCTTTGAGAAGAATTTCTCTTCCAGAAAAGTGCCCATTGCCTTCCCTCGTCCACTGGTCGACTGGTCGAGCAGCGACGTTCTCGTCGAGGAATACGAGAAGGCGCTTCCTTTGGAACCCTTTCTAAGACATGGTGGCGGGCCGTTTGAAGACCAAGTCGCCACTGTGGGACTGGATGCATTCTTGGTGAGCCTTGGAGATCATGATCGTTCTTGGCTCATCTCCGTGTCAGAATATGTTGCTACTCGACAACTTCGTACATTCGGACCTCCACCCTGGGAATATCATGATCAAATTCGGCAAACCTCCGTCCACCAGTCTTCTCCTACGCAATATATTCAATTCCTTTTTCCACAGAGCTGAAACTGGACATGTTCCAGAAGCGCTGGTCTCTGATTCAGAATCCGATCGTGTCGTGTCTGAACTCATGGATCTTGCGCACAATCCTACGGCATGGCGCGCCAAACTGGATCAACTCGGTGCAGAGGGATACGTACCCGAGATCATTTTCATCGACGCGGGGCTGGTGACCACATTGTCCGAAGTCAACCGCAAGAATTTCCTCGACATGTTCAGGGCCATGGCTGAATTCGACGGCTACCGGACTGGCCAGCTGATGGTGGAGCGCTGCCGAACTCCGGAACTTGCGATTGACACAGAGACCTTTGCGCTCAAGATGCAGCATCTTGTGCTGAGCGTCAAGCGCAAGACCTTTTCGCTTGGGCAGGTCAAGATTTCCGATGTTCTCACAGAGGTGCTGAGAAGCGTGCGGGAGCATCATGTCAAGATGGAGGGCGATTTCATCAACACGGTCATCAGCATTCTCTTATTGGAAGGCATCGGGCGGCAGTTGGATCCTGGACTCGATTTGTTCAAGAGTGCTTTGCCTATACTCCGCACGCTGGGCACTGAGATGGCGGCGTCCACCACTTTAGAATCGGAACGGGAAACAGGTAACTTGGGTGCCATGCTCAAGGTACGTGGGAGCTGTTGTCTTTTCCGATTATGTTTAAAATTGGTCTCCAGATTTGGGTGTCTCTAGAGGCGAGGCAACTCATCTCTGCATCGCTCGTTGATGCTGATGACTCTGTCAAGTATGGGTGGTCAGTGTTTTCCTAGTCCTTCTCTCATTCTAAATTGCTTATGCGCCATCTTAGGCTACTTCCAGGTATATAGATAGATCGCAGACATCGTTCATGCAATTCACGTCGCTATGTATGATAGAATGGATACTCAGCGTCGCACATATCATCGCGCCTGGGCTATCAGCAACATGTTTGAGTGGAAGCTGCACTATAATCGTACTAGACAGAAGATATCATTTCATTCCCCAGTCTAGGGAGGAAAACATGCATCTTTTTCTTCCCAATGATCTAGGTTGGAGCGCGATTTGTTCTAAATTACATTTGTCTCGAAGTGCGTGTCGATACCAAAAATTACTCGACCGATTGGCCGTGCTTCGGTGAGGTCTGATGATGTCTGTTTTTCCCGCACAGCAGTTTGAGCTCAGGCTCGTAAGATTGATCTTGAAAGCTGTGGCGAGTTTAAGGTTGTTCGAGATGTCCGAGGCGGTGATTCGAGTGAGCGGACCTGGTACGTGATGATGATTACCCAAGAGCGGGCCGATTGACAGTGTTATGATCTGCGCACTCGTTCTTGCGCCACCAAGACTCAGACGCACTCTATGACCCTTACCTAATGACAGCGGTGATTCGTCATGTTTCTGCGTGTTTTGCTCACCCTGAACACGACCCAGTTTCGAACCCTGTCATTAACGCCGCCCCCCTGCTATTATGGCCTTTCGCATCACCGCCTGGCTGATTGATCTGGAATTCGCTTATGCGATCTGCAACTAGCTGCCCGACTCTGCAGAAGGCGACATTCAGTTAAAACGCGCAAAGATGCCGGTGACCCTCCAGGCCAACATCCAGAGATCTCTTGACATAACCCCTTTCCTTCCATGTCTTCCCACAAAATCGTTATCGTCGGCGGTGGTGCAGGTGGCGGCGCTCAAGTGGCGCGCTCCGTAGCCTCCCTCCTGCCGACCGCGAAAGTCACACTCATTAACCCCCTGCCTTATTCTATCATGCGGCCCACACTGGCTCGCATGACTGTGTCGAGGCAGAACGACCTCTTCGAAACTGCCTTGGTGCCTTACGACAAGCTCTACACGACACCCAATGGCTCTTTTGTCGAGGGCATCGTGGAAACCATCCGGCCCGCAAGGAAGGGCGGCGAAGTTATTCTTGCGGATGGAAAGACGATCTCGTACGACGTGCTCGTGCTGGCCCCTGGCTCTGTCTGGGAAGGCCCCCTGGAGTTCCCCACCCAAGCCTCTGAGGTCGCTCCTTTCGTGGCGGAATCACGCTCGCGCTTCAAGAACGCAGAGCAGATCGTGCTTGCAGGCGGTGGCTCTGTTGCCGTCGGTAAGCTGCTTTACGTCTTTCCATCTGGGAAAGCGTGCTCATAACCTATCCTCCCCAGAGTTCGCCGGTGAAATCAAGGATATCTGGCCTGTATGTCCCACGATATTTCTGCTTCGCTTATCCCTTCCTGAACACACAATGCAGAGTAAAGGAGTGACTATCGTGCACAGCGGAGACGCGCTCTTGAACAGCGCCTACTCTCAACGCTTCCGCAAGGGTCTCGAGAAAGATGTGGTAGCCAGAGGCGTCAAGCTCGTTCTCAACGACTACGTTGATGATATTCCTGCACCGGGCTCCGGTAATATCCGAACTCGGAATGGAAAAACGATCCAGGCCGACCTAGTGGTCCGTTGCCTCTGATTGGCCTCGAACCACCTCGCTGACGATCCCACGTGCAGATTAGCACTCGCGGTCCCCGGCCCCGCACGGAGTTCGTTTCCAAGTCGCTTGGATCGGACAGTGTCGATGAGCGTGGCCAGATCAAGGTCAAGCCGACTTTGCAGCTGAACAACCACGCGGATATCTTCGCCCTCGGGGACGCCATCAACATCGCCGAGCAAAAGCAGGTCGTCAAGGCCACCGCACACGCTGCTATCATCTCCGCCAACATTGTTGCTTACCTGAATGGCAAGACGCTGAAGCCATACAAAGGCTCGCCGGAGATGATCCTTGTGACCAACGGCAAAGTACGATCTTGTTCTCTGCTCGATGTCCGCTGCTCTAATGCTTGTCACAGAATGGTGGGAAGGCCTACTTGTCTGTTTTGGGGGGAACTATTCTCGGCGCTTGGTTTGTTCGCATGGTCAAATCGAAGACATTATTCGTCGACATGTCGAGAGGAAACCTCGGCTACTAGACCTCTCTTGTTTGGTTTGTTCCTTTTGGAAATTGATTATCCCGATATAGTA